TGCTGGCATATTACATTAATGTAGGACATTAGAGAAAAAATATGGTTTTACAGTCTTTAGCTCTAGCTGTTTATTAAAATGCTACTTAACTTATGCCCAAATGGTCTTCATTTGTTTCCCCCCATTTGCATCATTATTTTTCTTTGCTTTGCTTTGCTTTGCTTTATCCTTTTCTGTTCTGTTCTGTTCTGTTTTGTTTTATTTTATTTTTTTTCTTTTTCTGAAACAGGAAGAGAAAATCCTTTCTGGAGATACTCCTTTTCATGTAAGTGTTTTTATGCTTGTTAATAAAAACATTGTAACATTAGCAATATAATCTTAAATATTCAGACTCCAGACTCCAGACGTTTATCATCTGCTCATAGAAAGATAATAAAATCCATATCCCCAATCTACACATCTATGATATAGAGCTGAAACAGTATTTTCAGATCTCTTAGCACTCTTTGCCCAGTCAAAGTCTAGTCATTTACATGCCGATGTACCTAGATTGAGTCATAATCAGAAAGTGGCTGCAGATCACTCATATCTTGCACATAATTTCCACAACATTCCCCAGTTTTTGAGTCTGTAGATAGCCAGCTTACCAGACCTCATATTAACAAGCCGGTGTGTGTTTCTTGCCTAAAGGTACAGTCCAGTATACCCCATTTATATGTTTGGAGGACCCAGTATACTTTATAAGAAACTTATTTCTGAACCAACATGATAAGGTTGTGCTGAAATCCTAAATATACTTACTTCAGTGGAACGTAATCCTGAATAAACTTTCTTATGATTGCACCACAAGTTACTATTCAATGGTAATAGAACAAATCAGCCTAGAATTTCCTGCTTCCAGTCTTTGGCTAAAATGTGCTTTATTTTTTTAAGTTCTACTCTATTTGCAAAGTTCCTATATGGATAAGACTTCAAGTAATACTCCACAGCTCCTTCTATAATTTATCATGTTATATAATGTATATATCAACATTTAGCAGCCTCCCTAAATAGATACACCCAGTAAACTATAGTCAGCCTGTTGATTCACAGTTAACAGGGCATCACAATGTAGCTAATGTCAAGCAAGCTGAAGTAGGACCTCGTGTTGTGTATACAGGTAATGTTCTCACCACAAGGTTGTGCTAGAGAGCGGTTCAGTGGCTTATTTTGCATTGCACCTAGAGAAAACAAAACACCAAGCTGTGGTAAACATAAATTTATTTAAGGCATTTTCTCTTGATCTTCAGATGAAAAAGCTCTCCAAATGACCCTATTGATAAACAGAACAAGTTGTCTTTGACTTGTGGCTTGGAATATAAAAGATATGACAAAAAAATCAATGTGGGATGCCAGAAAGGAGTTAACACACTTGTTTGCCAGTTTTGGCTTAGTTGTACATTTTGACAAGTTGTGAAGCGTTTTCTTCATGGGAACCTATATATGTGTAGGTGAACCCATGGAATTTTGCCGTTCCCCTTGAACAATTACAACTAATAAGTTCATATACATCTTGGGAATGATTTTTGCATTCAAACTAAAAGCCATGTGTTTGGAAATGCATCATGTGTACTTCAGTCATGGAAAGATTTCCCTTAAGTTTAAATATATTTCTTTGATAAAGGTAAATTGGCTTTGGAAAATAAAATTATGACAGCAATTGTGGTATAGAGGCTCTTGTTTTATATCATATTCTGTATGTGCACCGTACATAACCTAATGGAAGCTCAGATACAATTTTGTTGCTTTTCATTTTCTTTAATTAATTCATTAGCAAGAATGGTAACTTATATTTCCATAACAGATTGTTCAAAAAGCTTCTCAGTAACAAGGGTCTTTGCTTTTGTGGCGCTAAAGTTTTACTTGACTTAAGAATAAAAGCAACTTGTAGAGTGCACACTTATGTTTAATTGTTACTGTGCTGGCTACTACCAGTGTTTGCAGAAATGTATTTGCAAACTTCCTTCAACCTGACAGTATGTTTGGGTTTTGGAGATTCCTGCAATGGGAGAAAAGTAGTAAGGGAGAGCGTTCTCCTTTTTCAGGAGCTTTCATCATTCTTACATTATTGATTATGCATTTATTATTCATAATTATAAAATGTCCATACAATGTATTCTCTAGGTATTATACAAAATAAAATGTTATAATACAAAAATGAGGTTTTCTTCCCTGGCTCTGCTCTGTCATACCATAGATTAAATGTACACCTAGACCACTGTTAGCCAAACTACAGAACTGGATGACAGAAGCTGGTTTATGCTCTTCTCTACTGCTCTGGTTTTCCATCCACTGCCATTTTCTGAGAATGTGCAGAGGCAGCTTCTGCCTTCATTTGACACCACTTCAAGGGAGTTTCCACACAGAGATAGTGTGCAAAGCCCTAGTGTGTAATGTGCAGTATGCAAAGCAACCATTAAACAATTAGTGATAGTACTGAACGAAGGGGGGAGGGGTTAAAAGCTAAAATAGTGCATCTCTACCATTTTGCACCATTTCCCTTAATATAAGTGAGAGGACTATTTTTCTCTCTCAGTAGCACTGATCTCATAATATAAAATTGGAAAGTAATCTTGCTCCCTATCATGGAGTTTTTAACGAAGATGTTGGCACTTACAAATGCAGGAACAGAGGGGAAGGGTCTCTGTATTTTTTCATTTTGTTTCATTAGCTTGTGGAATGACCTAAAAAGGCTTCCATACAAACCCACTAGTTTTTGAACAGGCTGCAGTGGAGAAACAAGCTCTCCTATAATTCAGATCCAACTTTATCAGCCTTACTATGCAGTAGTTCTGGATAATAGAGGCCACAAAGCAGAGATATGAGGAGGAGAGGACAGTATACTGTATGCCAGCTTCTGTACCCAAAGCTTGTGGTACATTCTCACCGAACCAGTGCATTATTAGGACTGTCTCTATACATTGGTGAAAGAGAAGTGTCCTCCCTCATTCAAGATAGGTTAATCACAATTCCTAGTTGGTCTGGAAAGTGAACTGGCTGATTTTCTCAGTATCCTTAGTAAGAACTTTAGAATGTAGATAATTAACGTCACACAGTGTGCACAATCTGTTCTTTCTAGTATGATAGATGATAGGGTGTGTACATAAGTGAATTTTCTTGAATTTAACCTGGATTTGCTTCCTTAGATCACACTGCCACTGAAGAAGCATGGAAAGGGCAAATCCAATGTTACTGAGCATAATAGTTTTTTTTTATACTTCCTCCTCTCACCTTCCTGGAGCACATACTGTTTAATTAGACTAATTTAGAGTAGGTTGAGAAACAGAAACATTTAGCCAAAGGAGGCAGTGATAAATTCATTTCATATGCCTTGTATTTAATAACATCAACATAATAAGAGTAGCTTAGCAATTCAAGAAAACCAGTTGCAAAGTTAAAATAGAAACATAGTCCCTAGGTCCACGCTTGATGTACCGATTCAGACTGGGCATGGCTTCTTCCAATTATTAACTAAGATTCAGAGGCAGAGTTTTAAAATTATTGAAATCCTCATAGGGTCTGCTCTCAAATGGAAGGGTATTATATATGAGTATGCCAAGTAACAAAGCTGGCAGGAAAAAGAAAAGTTGTAAATCTACCTTTCTGCTTTCCATGAGGTCCTTGAGAGATGCAGAAATATTGTGCTGGCTTTTCTTAATATCTTTTATACACATACGCATTCTCATCATCACAAAGCTGGGACTACAGGCTTCTATAGTTTCATATGTTTGCTGCCTTCAAACCACCTTGGAAATGGTCAATATAGGAGATGGAAACTTCAGTTTTAGGAATATTTATATAGTTGTCCATTCACAAGCAAGTGATTCTGGGTGATGTACAACGTATCTGAAACGGAGTACATGTCTAGCAGTCATATATTGCTAAGCTTTATTCTCCTCTTGAGGTTCTTCAATTTAGCAGGCAGAATACATTAGCAGCTTTCAAGCATTTGCAAGTTGCAGTACATTAGTTTAAAAATTCCCAGAATCCTTGACCAGGAGATAAAATTCTAGTGATCAAAAACAGACTATATTTCAGTAAAAAAAAATTTTTTTTTTGCACTTGTTCTCACATGAAAACCCATCCTCGTGGAACTGTAGGGTTCCATGGAATATAATTTTAGCCCTGGAATAGGTCATCTTTATATTTAAAAGAATCATAGTACAGTAGCCTTGAAGAACCCTACATCGCAAATGGCATATTTTTTTTAATCTAATCTGCAGACCTACAAGGATTCTTCAATCTCCAAGGCAGGATGCCTTTGATATGTAAAGGTTACATAAGCCAAAAGACCCAGTTCACTTAAGGAAATCAATTGAAGAAAGCTATCACAAGCAAGTCTCAAGTATTTATTCCATATCAGCCTATTATATTAAAATGGATATGCATTAAAATGCACATCAAAAACACTACACCTCACCTATTTGCATTTAGATGCACATGTTAGAAGCACAACTTAGTAAGCATTTCATTGAAAGCAGTGAAGGGCAGATATTCTACACAGAGGTCTGGATGTACATGCAGTTAATAACAGTAATTGGTGAATCAGAAGTAATGCATCAGCAAACAAGAAAACAGTATAAAGATTCAATTTATGCAGTCCATATATGAATAATCTTTGGACTGCAAACAATATAGTACTTCAAAATTATTGCTGTGGTACCTTGCAGTAATGAAAATCAAATTGGAAATTCCAATGGTTAGTTCTGTATATGTGCACAACCTATATAGGGTAATATTTCACATAGATATTTCTTCCTACTCATAGTCTCTTCAATATAAATGACATAGTTCTTTGGCTCCTTTTAACTGCTATGGCATACATTTTTAATAAAAAAATGAGTTTGAAAAATTACATAAGGATATCGTCAACCTTTAGGCTTGTTAAAATGTTTATGTTTCATACCATAACTTGAGAAAATATAGAGCTTATATATATTATTTATTTATTAAACTTATATGTTGCTATCCTCACCATCAAAGTGACTCTGGGCATTTTGTTTTGTAATAATTAATTTTAAGAAAGCTCTGTATCCTTATTAATCTTCAATTGGGGATCCAGGAATACTGAAGACTTTAGCTCCCAACAGAAATAGGTTTTCCCAGACTAGAGACCTCAGGATTGCATTTTTTAATAAGAAGAGTCGCATCAGAGTTAGTCCTGGAGTGCAGTATTTCTTAATGTGCAACTCCATAGGGGGGGGAAGTTGATTGCTCATTGTCATCACCGATATTACTTTAATTGCAATGCTCAGAAGGATCCATCTTTCTGTGTTCATTTGCTGCAATATATACTACCAACATTCATTACTTTCTATCAGTGTCTTACCCTATGGAGGAACCAGCCCTGCCCATCCACATTGAGGAGGGGATAGACGTTCTGACTGGTGAGTGCAGCTAAGGTGGGGTGCTTGTGAAATTGGGGGAGGCATGCTGATGCAGAGAGCTTGAGACCTTGTTTGTGTTATGTATTTGGGAAATTTAGGAATGTTTTCCATAAACATTTTAAGTAGTTTTCTGGTTTTTTTTCCAAAATGGTGCTGTATTGGCAGGAGCAGTTCTCAGTTCTTCAGTTCTCAGAAATGTTTCACGGTGACCAATCTTCCACTATGATCACACTACACACTGATCTGTCATTACCTACCCTTGCAGACTCTCATAATTTTACTGTCTGTATAAAGAATATAGCCATTTTTGTTATTCAAATATACAGAGATAGAGTGCAATAGAAAGGCATCCAGACAAATGGCTATGTTGATTTGGAGACTAACTTGTTTTGAATTGCTTGCTCACACCTCTTAAAAACATATTTGCATGGTAACATATTTTTCTTGGGCAAACCTTAAGAAATTAGAAACTTTTTTTGTTCTCTTTTCTGAGGAATTAACATTAAAAACCCAAAATTATTATTTTTTTTTAAAAAAGTACAAAAATGAAGACACAACTCTATTAACCAAAGGCGGAGATTCAGATTATCCAAGCAAGCAAATATTCCCCCTGCTAGAGGGATCTAGTGTAGCCAAAGAGGACATTTGGAGGGTACTACTTGCAACACGTATTAATATGCAGATAGGACCAGATCTGTGGATAACAGCACTGTTAGCACAAAGTTGGTGCAATAGATCTCTTTTCCACCCTTAGATCTATCTGAAACTGTCCTCAAGAGCAGGGTTTTTCAGCCTTTTCACAGATTGTACCACTTTTAGGATATGGCAATATTTGAGTACCACCAGTCGCCTAGCAAGGTGTCAAAAATTTGATCACCCCCCCAAAAAAGGAAAAAAGTGATAAAGTACAGGTAGTCCTTGACTTATAACAGTTTGCTTAGTGACTGTTCAAAGTTACAATGGCACTGAAAAAAGTGACTTATGGCCATTTTTCACACTTATGACCATTGCAGCATCCCCGATTTACATTCAGATGCTTGGCAACCAATTCATATCTACGATGGTCACAGTGATCCCTTTTGCAACCTTCTCACAAGCAAGGTCAATGAGGAAACCAGATTGACTTAAGAACTGTGTTACTAATTTAACAACTGCAGTGATTCAATTGACAAATGTGGCAAGAAAAGTCATAAAATGGGACAAAACTCCTTTAACAAATTTCTCACTTAGCAACATAACTTTTGGGCTCAATTGTGGTTGTAGGTTGAGGACTATCTGTACACCCAGTTACCATACTTTTAATGAGAAACCTTGTGCCTGTTTCTCTGACATTAATTTTTGCACTGTTCTATCCCCTTCTCTCCTGGTTGACTCAAAGAAGCCTCTCCTCTTCTCTGTCTCTCTTTCTCCAACCCCTTCTCTTTCCCCGTCATCTGTTTTTTCTCTCCCTTTCCCTCCAAAACCTCCTTCTTTTATATCCTTTCCTCTCTCCCCCTCCTCCTCCTCCTCTTCTGTTTGGTATAGCTATAGCTGACTCTTTTCCCCAAGGCTGCGCGTTTCTCCTTCTCTGTCCCCTTCTCTTTCCCCATCGGGTTTTTTCTCTCCCTTTCCCTTCAAAACCTCCTTTTATATCCTCTCCTCTCTCCTCTCTCCCCCTCCTCCTCCTTTTCTCTTCGGTGTAGCTGCAACTGACTCCTTTCCCCAGCGCTGTGCGCTGCTTCCGGAAGCGCCAATCAGCTAGAGCCCCATGTGGATCCTGGGTGCTCAGCAGAGCCCCGGCAACACCGCAATTCCAGCTGACTCTCTTACAGGCCTGTGCGGCATTACTGTTGCTTCAGTTCATCCCCGCGTTACACTTTTACACTTTTTTTAACAAGTGCTTTTCAACCTGTCGTATGTGTACCACCTGGCAGGTGCCAAAGTACCACCAGTGGTACACCGTACCACGGGTTGAAAAGCACTGCTCAAGAGCATACTGTTCTTGTTCTAGAATAAACAACTCAATTGTTCTGAATTCCATAATTAAAAACATAGTATTTTTGAGGGGGGGGGGTAAATGACCTATTTCATTATTTGGAGATTTATTTCAATATTTAGTTATCTATATTTTAATCCAGATACCTCTTCAAAGTATTTCATAGAATACACTCAAAAATAGTTTTATTTCTGATACCTGCCTAAATTGTTTTATGCTTTAATGTTTTCTTATTTCCTGCCAAAATTAATGCTTATAAATGATTTTTAAAGTAGAAAAGTGCTCTTTCAGTCCATCTAGTTTTTGTGATGGAAATTCAAACTATTATCTTTAGCCATGTGATAAAAATGAGAAATTCATTTATATGCCCTAGATTATTTTATCATTTACCTTAGAATCTGAGACTTAGAACGTAGAATTTCATATGAACAGACACTGTATGACTCTTATTTAGCTTAATAGTGAAATAACAGTCTTTTTATCCTTTCTTCACAAGAAAACATTGCAAATCTTTGATATTTCTTATAGATTTCTATACACAACTAAGAAATCTGGAAGATTTTAATTCATGATATAGTTACATTTGATATGTATTTTATATTTCTTGTCTATATTGTTTTGGTATTACTTGTTTTAGTATTTTTCATTCCAAACAGTTAGAAGCTAGTTTTACTGTAATCATATAATTTTATACAGATTCGTATTAATTTTTCCTATAAGAATACGATCAAAATATGCATATTTTTCCTTTTAAATGTGAATTGAGAGTACTTTGGCTTGCTGGAAAGCAACAGGAAACCCCCAAAAACTGTTTATTTCATATAGCTAACTGACTCCTATTCCTCTTCTTCTGCCTTTCTTTCAAGCTCCATATTATGCAAGAAAATTGGTTTATTTGTACGTGCATAAAATAAAGTGTCTAAGATTTTAATTTTAGTTTTTTGTTTATATAAAATTTTGCTTGGCTAATGCAGCTCTTACTCCTACTGTATAACAAAATACTTAAGAAACTATAAGTATTTCCATTTCCTGATAATGTCATTCTCAGGTACATAGCAGTGGGATTTTGTACAATCTTTTGCTTTGTGTACCTTTGAAATTAACTGTAATGTGTCTGCATGCTTACTGAGTGCAAATTGCCTGTGTGCGATTAACACAAACTAAATATAATGATGGCAAAATCATTCTGAACTCAGCTGGAACTGGAAAAAGAAAAATTGAAATAATATTCATTAAGATTAATCTTAGTAATGTTTCCAACATTGTTGAAAATGAAGGATAAGTTGCCCTTTTAAAAACACAGCAAGCCGAAATAACTGCATATTTTTTTACTTCATCAAAAAACAAAAACTTTATCAGTTATCTAATATTTCCTGTTACCATTCTGAAATATAAAGCATTTTTTTTTTAAAAAAAAACTGGCCTTTTATTTGTTGTCAAAAGTTTTATTAGGTATATTGTTCTAAAGATTGTTCCTGATAGTGAGAACAATCAATGGGACAGTTTGCCTCCAGATGTTTTGAGTGCTCCTTCACTGGAGGTTTTCAAAAAGAGACTGGATAGCCATTTGTCTTGAGTGGTATAAGGTCTTCTGCTGGAGCAGGGGGTTGGATATAAGATATCCAAGGTTCCTTCCAACCCTATTATTCTATGTTATTCTATTGTTTTAGTATTTTAAGGTACAGAGAATTATATAGAAAAATTTAAATTCTTAGGAATTAAGGAAAATCTGGTTTTAATTGTAAGATCATGAGTAAGATCATGAGTAGTTTAAGAGCGCAAGAAAGATGATATGGGGACTTGAGACATCCAGTAAAAAAAAAAAAAAAAGGCTGGAGCAACCTAAGATGGTCAGTTCTAAAGAAGAGAAGGCCTGGGGAGACATGATGGCCACATTCAAGTATGCACAGAGAAGCTATAGGGAAGAAGTTCAGGAACTATTTTCCAAGCCATAAAAACAAGAGCATTTTCATATAAGTTTCCCCTCCCTAGATTTTGTTTAAATATAAAGAAGAACTTGATGGTAAGATATATACTTCAGGAGATGACTAGGGGGTGGGTGGGTCTGAGGGCAGGGTCAAACACGTTATCAGTCTGGAGTCCTAAACTCTAAAGAGACCTAACTCCAGGCCCCTTGATGTCTGTTGACTCTTACTTAGTGCCTATTTGCCTTGACTGTTACTAGATCAGATTCTTGTAGAGCAGTGGCTCCCAAACTTTTCTACACCCCGCACCCCTAGAACACTTCTGATATATTCTCGCACCCCTTGCAAAAGTTCAAAATAACGGCAACAAACTATGCATATACACTATAATTTTGAAAACCCAAGTTTTTGCACCCCCTGGAATATCGAATCGTACCCCCAGGGGGGTGCAAGCACCCGTGGTTGGGAACCCCTGTTGTAGAGGTTGCATGGAATAAACTTGCACTGCTTTTGAACTCTATCCTGGTTCTTCGTTTCTTGTGCCTGTGATATACAGTGGAAATATCTTTCTATGAATGTTATGGCCTCTCCATCTCTGGAGAGATTAAGAAGTGGCTGAAGAGCTACTGATTGTGAATACCTTTTTTCTTCTACATTGTAGAATATTGAATTAGACAATCTTCATGGTCTCTTTTAATTTTATAATTCTGTGAATGTATGAAGGATTATTATTTGGTGATTAAAAAAATATCTGCATCAATGAAATCCACCAGGCAATTTAGAGTTAAATTGCATACCACATAAAATATGCAGGTTTAGTTGCCCCTGTGATTTGCATTTAGAAGAGGAAGCTTAAGTTGTTTCTCCTGTGCATTGAAGTACTATGTGTGAATTCTGTAAAACAAGATTAAACTTCCCCTTCCGTTTTGCAGTCTTAATTTGGACTGGTATACTTTGTACTTCCTTTAGAAAAATCAATGGGACAAGGATAGTTTATTGGATGCTGATTGTTTGAGAACTCCAGGCATTTTACAAAAGTGCAGTTAATTAGCTACCTGGAATAATTTAGTTAGCCAAGTTGCATAGGAACAGAGAGATAATGGGCAAGACTAGAAATAAGAAGATTAGATTCGGAATTGGCCTGGATACAACAGACAAGTTGGGAAATTGTGCTCATTCCTATCTTTCTTTCCATAGGCATAGGTCAGGGGTAGGCAACCTTGGCTCTTTTATGACTCGTGGACTTCAATTCCCAGAATTCCTGAGCCAGTGCTGGCTCAGGAATTCTGGGAGTTGAAGTCCACGAGTCATAAAAGAGCCAAGGTTGCCTATCCCTGGCATAGGTGTTTGTTTTTTTTTAATATTTTCGTTTATACAAACTTAATTTGTAATTTAAACGTTTGTTTTTAGATTGCTGTCTGAGAATTTGTGCTGCAGCATAGAGTTCTCAATTTTGTATCAGAAATAATGATGTAATTTAAAAGAAGTGGGTAAGTGGTGATCCTTTTTTGTAAATAATTGTCAGTTATTAAGTTTTTAGTAAGCTCACTCCAGGGATTGTTAATTGAAGCCTGAAGACAGTTTGTGGTCATTTAAATGTGGTCATTTAAGAACTGACAGTTCTTGTATTTAACAGAGCCATCATATTCTTAGAGTAATTCTTGTAGATTTAACAACTACTTAATATATAGCTTCACCTATGGAAAGCTGTTTTTAGGAAATACTAGCTGAGCAGGATTGTTGATGTTACCTATTCAGGTGATGAAATGTCTGCAAGCAAACAATGAAGTTCAGAGAGCATCAAAGACTCCATAGTTCAATCCTGAGCTACAGATATTCTCTTTTATTGGAGTACTGGCTCCATTCAGACAACCTTATATGAATGAACCTTCTAGTAGTATTGCAGCTTCTGCTCCTTCTTTCACAAGTGGTTTTGTTGGTGTGTCAGCCTGTAAGTTTATGTGAATAATTCTCATGCTCATAAATTCCCTTGCCACCAGGCCCATAAACATATTTTAGGTACAGTTTGGAATTTTGTCCAAAAGTGATCTAAGACTTGTCTTCTTTTGTAAGTTATATTTAGAAATAATCACAGTTTATGGCTTTAGTGTCATGATAAACTGCAATCGAAGTAAAACTTTTCATTCTCCTTGTGATTGTGTCAGAAGAGAAAAGGGTAGGATAGGATAGAGCAAGTATATAGGAATCTCTTCATATATTGCTAAAGTATAATATCTAAGTTCTATGGAGATTCTCAGTCATCCAGATCATGGTTGTCCCAAAGGTGCTTTTTCAAGAGGCAACTGGACTTGCTTGTTTTTCTTTGAAGATGTTTTGCTTCTCATCCAAGAAGCTTCTTCAGCTCCGTTCCCCACCATCCAATCAGAGCTGAAGAAGTTTCTTGGATAAGAAGTGAAATGTCTTCAGAAAACAAAACAAAACAAAAACCAGGAAAGTCCACTTGCTTCTTGAAAAAGTACCTGTAGGACATAGAATATCTAAGGAGCTTATTTATTTCTTCAATTAAACAAAATAGCAACAACAAAAACCCAATGTGTAGCCTTCTAGGTTCAAATCTGAATCTAGAGGATTGATTGTGATCCCTCACTAGCTTTTAGTTAATTCTCATTAATAATGCTATTTCTAATGTTTTAAAAATAGAAGCTAATTCAAATATATAATTTGAATTCAATTCTTTATGGAATTGAAAAATATTAATTAAAGTGAGATTTGGAAGGAATTTGAAATATTATATAAGGAGGAGGATATAGGTTTTCTATGCATGGGTTCTAGGATTTTAGGATTTTGTAAACCACTTAGAAAAAGTGTTTTGATGCATCTTTTTAAAACCACTGTTCAGAATATGAAGTTACCATGTTCTTTATAAGTGTTCATTTTGCCATTTTTGAGAATATATATATATGTACAGAGAGCACTGTAGTTAGGATTATTGCCAAAGAAAAGCCAATCTCTTGGACTGGTCATGCAATCTTATTGACTTCTTTTAGTTTAGTGAAAAATAGCTCAGAATCAGTTGAGGTAATATTGGGAAAATCCTGTTGAACAGGACACTTCTTGTCCATATCATAACTGATAGTTTACTACAGTATACTTAGGGAATGGTTTATAAATAGAAATGGTGACCTATTACAAAAAATGTTTGCCAATAAAGACAATGCCTTAATGAAGTTGTGTCTGGGAAGCCAAAGACCCAGTAGTAAACTGTAATAGTTTCATCAATGTAATATAATTGAACAACTTGGTTAATGATTGTGAATTTGATGGAACTGATTTGGATCATCGTCAATAAAATAGCATTCATTTAAGGCCTAGAGTTTTTGGGGGTTTTTTTGTGTGTAATTTTGGGAGGAACTTTCCTTTGGCTGCATTCATATTGTTTCTTGCTATAAATAGCAGCTTTGGCTCATTGTTCAACTATCTTAAATATTTGAGCCAAGCTCTTGTTTTTTGAAGGGAAAGCAGACATATGTCTCCTAGAAATTGGCATGTTTTTCAGAAGCGGAACTATTCAGTTATTTTATTATTCAAGAATGTAAGTTGCTTCTTATCAACTGATAAAATGGCTGTAGTTTATATTTGCAAAATGCCTTCCAACTCTATATCAGACTGTTGATTCTTATCTATAAAAAGTAATTATAGCTTTAATCAGTAAAATAAAATTGCAGGAAATCAAACACAAATCATGCGAATGCTCAGCACAATGCCTTTTGTTAAACACTGGGGTTTTTTTGTTTTTTTATATTTTTTGAGACTTCTCTTCAATCTTTTATCTTCCTTGGTATTTCCTTCAATTGGTAGTGTCCATGTCTGGGGCATAGAATCACTTCTAAAATATGTGCAAAAAAAACAAGAGTTTTAATAGGCCAATATGAAAATAATCTAAAATTATAAAGCAGGCTCATTTCATCCCCTGTAAACTATTTAGGGATTATCAGGATCGTGAACTAGAAAATCAACATTTTTTGTAAAAACAAAACAAAACTAGGCATTTGAAAACTAGGAGTCTTTTAAAATTTGAATCTTTTTAAGTAAATAAAGAGATCACATAATTATCTCAAATAACCTCTGTCTAGTTTTTAAGCAGTACTTCCATTTCATGATATCTGAAATAATATGTTCCTTTATAAAAGAAGCTATTAATGTTTGGTTAACTGTTCTCTTATTACTGAGTCAGAAACAACTCAGACAATCTCACTTCTACTTAATTTAACTTGGTAACTTAGAGTAGATGTATTGTTTTGTGTTTATTAATCACAGTTCTCCTCTTCTTTTGGCTTGCTCTCATTCCCAACCATAGTTTCAGATCTCTACTATGCCGACCTGATCTGTTTACCACTCAGAAAACATAAAATTAAATCCAGACATCCAATACAACAATGCAAACTATGCCTTTATAGTGACATATACAATAGATCAAATAATCTTCCTAGTTTCCATAAGTTAGATAAAAATGAAAGGTGTTTTTGCTAATGAAACTAGTGTGGAAAGATAAAAAGGCTTAAAGTATTACTACTTTAAGCACTGGCTTTGAACAAGGCAATTTCTTTTATTATTAGGATTAGGTTTAAATGCTCTATTTTAATGGTTTTTATTTTTATACTAATGGATTACTTTATTAAATTATATTAATTAAAATAAAATGCTCTATTTTAAAAGGTCTTTAAACCCTTTCGCCCTCCAGCATTCTGTCATATGTAGCTCCAGTCCCAATTGTGATTCTAAGTCAGGGAGTGCTTGTATATATATTTGCAGAACATTTCTGTGCTAAAAGAAAATCAATCTGACACAAACGGTGAGAGTGAATTAACTCTTGTGCCTTCAAATGTGCACAAGTATGTCTTCGAAAAGGAGCTAATTTTATACTGTCAAAAACATTTTCACATATTCTTCTGTAATTCAAAGCAAATTCAAAGCATGCTTCTCACAGATAATATTTCACTATGTGGCTCATTACTACCAAAAGTCTACTTTGATGAAATCTTGTTTTTTAAATCAGTGGTATTATATTACCAATGATAAATATAGCATATTAAACTGAAAGCAGTCTTTATAAGCTAGGATTATTTTTGAAAGTTTAGTATACTTTAGATTTGGTATTAAGCAAGTCTTCTCATTGACATGCCATTAATTAATAACCATTGCTGTAGGAATGAATGCAGTTTTAGGGTGCATCAGAGGAATTCCAATCTTTTAAAAACAATTTAGATGAAATGCTAAAAGAATAATGGAATGAGGCAACTCTATAATTCAGAAAGACTTATTTATGACTAGATAAACAGGCCCAGGATAAACACAGGAGAGGTAGGAGAATTGCTATTTTATATTTATATTACTAGGATTAAGCATTTTATTTGACAAACACTTATTAAAAGCCATTCTGTTGGAAATCTTTACAGTATCTTTTTTTTTTTTTAAGTACAATTTCAGGCAAGGAACAACTACTGACACTGTGAAAAGAAAGAAATGATGTAATCGTGGCGATGAGCAACTCCAATTTACCTGATAAATTAGGCTAATATATTAATATGAACATAAAACTGCTCAAGGGGATTTGTTGGATGTCCGAAAGAATAACTCCTAGCAGTAGTAGGTCATGAACTGCTTAACTTTCACAAGTAGCTTTCATGTTCCTTCCAGACAAAAGGAGAGATGAGACTTACTACTGATTTCAGTCTCCGCAAATAAAGTGCCATCATGATAGGTTAACGCTTCCTTTAGCACAGTAATGACCGCCTACCCAGAATGTTCAGGAACCTGGCATGCTAACCTCATATTATGAAAAAAAAAGTTTCCTTGTACCTGTTAAAGGAAGGAGACATTCTTGTACTGTGCTTTCAAGTTTGCAGATTCATGCATTACTAATCATTAGTTGCATCTCTCTTGTGCACGTATTGATTTTCTGGGAACCTTGGCTTGGTTACTGACTTCGCATAGGTGCTTTCCAACAAGTTGCATAAGCAGAGGGACCTGTTGTGCAAGGTCTGTTAAATAAGTCGGTTTATATCCCTTATATTGTAATTTTGATCTTTCTAGAAAACAAAACCATGGCAACAAAGGAGAAGCTGCAGTGTTTGAAAGATTTTCACAAGGATATCCTTAAACCTTCCCCTGGCAAGAGCCCTGGGACCCGGCCTGAGGATGAGGCAGAGGGCAAGCCACCACAACGGGAAAAATGGGCCAGCAAGATTGATTTTCTGTTGTCCGTAGCTGGAGGGTTTATTGGATTAGGCAATGTCTGGCGATTTCCGTATCTCTGCTATAAAAATGGCGGAGGTGAGTATTCTTATTGTGCTCATAATTAGTTACTGGTCTGAATGGTTATTTTGCTAAGTCATAAAATCTTCCTAATCACCTTTCTGTTTTTTTCCCTCTACAGGTGCATTTCTCATACCTTATTTCATTTTTCTGTTTGGGGGAGGTCTTCCTGTATTCTTTCTGGAAGTGGCCCTAGGACAATATACCTCTGAAGGAGGAATTACATGCTGGGAAAAGATCTGCCCTATTTTCTCTGGTTGGTTATTTATCTTCTACTTCCTTAATTCATAGGATGCTATGAGGTTCTGTTAGAGTGTTAGGTTAACACAGAAAAGAAGTGTATGTGGGAGGATGGGATGCTAGGCAAAAGCCTTGGTTTTTAATAGCAGAGGGGATTTATCTGAAATTCTTCACCCATTAATTTCCTTTCATCCATGTGAAAGGCTGTCACATGCATTTCAGGATGAAATAGAATAGCGGTGGTAGAACAATTGGTCCAAGGACAAATCCTGTTTGAGACTTGAAATAAAAATCACTTTAAATAAAAATTTAAAGTCATTCTGAAAGGAATTGAAATCTCATCAAAAGCAGGATACTTATACCAATAATGCAATTTGATGGATTTTTTTTCCAACCAAACTTTGCCCTATAGTGTATGACCTTTTGTATAGTTAAGCATTCTTACAACAATAGTAACATGTTTAATTATTTATTTGTATTCCATTTTGTTCCTGTTTAATTGACAACAAAATGGCCTTAAATAGAAATCTAAAACATTGCCTTCTTTTAATTCTGTCCCCACTCTGTCTCTTCTTTCTTTCTTTCTTTCTTTCTTTCTTTCTTTCTTTCTTTCTTTCTTTCTTTCTTTCTTTCTTTCTTTCTTTCTTTCTTTCTTTCTTTCTTTCTTTCTTTCTTTCTCTCTCCCTCCCTCCCTCCCTCCCTCCCTCCCTCCCTTCAGACGTCCAAATTTAGGCATTTGCCCCCCAAAGATAAAGAATTTGAACAGTTACCATGATGATGACAACATAAATTATTGCAGAGCTGTAATAATTTACAGAGACTGTAGATTAGACCAGATTTTTCCCCCTCTTTTGGTCTCCCACAGTGCTTACTTGAATCAAAATCCATTGAAAATTACTAAGACATCATGTCAAGTATGTGAGGTTAAGATCAGAAAGGCTTAGTCCCAGTGATACATCATTAGCTGCTTGTATGACATTTTGAGTAATAGCTCACATGACCTTATCTACCAATGAACCTGTGTTTGAAAAACAAACAGAGTGGTTGTCAGGCACTGATAACAGAGTTAAACTTTTATCTCTTAGTAGCCATGAGAATTTTGCAAAAAATATTCAAGGAAAGAAGAGAAAAGATGCATAGATTGTGGTGTTCTGCTTGCTGGCTTTATCTTCAGGTCTTTTTATATCTGACACAATGTGTAGCTTTTCCTCAAGAACATTGCTGTTAATGCTGTTTAGGAATGCTGTCTCTTTACAACTCTCCATTCCTAACGTAGACTTTATTCCACTTCCTTAAACAATGTAAAAATTGAAGACTATTGCCTTAATAGTTCAGGCATATGATAGGAGCTAAACTAGCAAGGGGAAAAAATGTTTATATGGTGATATGAATTGTTTCATACATTTTCTTTCTTTTTTTAAAAAAACAGGAATAGGTTATGCTTCCGTAGTGATTGTGACTCTCTTGAATGTATACTACATCGTCATCCTGGCTTGGGGATTGTACTATCTATTCCAGTCATTTTCGCACACTCTGCCATGGGCTCATTGTGGGCAAGAATGGAATACAGAAAACTGTGTGGAAGACACCCTCAGGAAGAACAAAACACTGTGGCTGTCACTCAATGTCACTGACTTCACATCTCCTGTCACAGAGTTTTGGGAGTAAGCAAGTTTACTTGTTATTGTTTTACAGCAAAGAGGCACAGATTATAAATTGCAAGAGACACAAATATATTAGGAAGCATGTGGTATTACTTAATCTTGTATGGGTGCACGAGGTGTAACTATTTAGACATTGCTAACTCATAGGTGAAGCAGTGGTGGATAGCATCAGTAGTAAAGCATGTTGGAAGATGTCATTCAACAACATTTGGAGGATAACTCATGTAATATCCAGGAGAGTGTTTTTCCCCCCTGAAGCCAGGTAGAATCTAAAACAAACTCCTTTTCTATTTCAGTGCCCATACATGCACATTATGTTTCAAAAGCCTAAAGATTAATATTTTTTTCTATTTTCTATATCATACATGAATGTGTGAACAAATTCAGTAAAATAAAGGTGAAGTCTGCATAGTTAGTGTTCCTTTCTAAGCCTCCTGTATTAGAATAGAACAGAATGAAAAATAGAACAGACTAGACTTTTTTCTAAGACTACCATAATACATTAGATAATCCTTAAACATCATGGCCCATAGTAGGGCAGAGTTTACATAAAACGTAGGCATGTTTAAGGACCCAGAGTTGTCTTTTGTGGTCTACTGGATTATGTAAGCAAAGTAAGTCAGAATGCCTGGGGAATTTAGAGAGGAGATGGGGCATCAGTTTTCCAGATAAGTGGCCAATTTGTATTTTGTGAACTAGTTGGGACAGGCTGCATAATAAATTGACCTACATCTAGAATCTTTTTCTTCAAAATTAAGTTCCCTTACTCTAACCCCAATGGGAAAGAACAGTTCAAGAAAAGCCATTGGCGAGTAATTTCCTGGAAATGACTTTTGTCCATGTGGAATCAAAACTATCTTCTGTAATTAAAGGGAGTGAATCCAGCTGGCATATTTAATAATTTCAGCCAAAAAGTAAAGATACTAATCTAAAGGCCAGATTCAATTCTAATGATGGCTGCTTCTTGCCAAAGCACCATATTTGGAGTATAGTGAGGAACCTGGAAAATATTTCTCAAACATTTGACTGGACTTGCCCTCTCATTTATATGGCCCAAATTAGTTTTTAGTTATCAGCTTTGGGTTTTACATGTAGGAAGCTAATTCAAGGCTACTTTTTGCATGTCACCTTTTGTTGTGCTAAGCCTTTGTTTATTTGAAACCAGGATGATCATTAGAAGCAACAGTGTTTTCAGGAGAAAGTTAAAACCAGCAGGGTGGCAAGCCAAGTTTTGTAATGCAAGTCCAGTCCCATGTGCTGCCCAGAGTTGCTTCCCAAACCCATCCTGGTATGAAAAATGTGAGGGCCACTGGTGTAATTCACAATATACCCACTTTGAACCCATGGATGGTATTTCATCTAGAGGACCACTAGATGGCAGCAAAACAAAGTTGGACTAGAACTCCCAGTCTCCTGATTTCTAGACTGGTTCCTTAACCACTGGACAATCACAGTGAACCAGTCTAGAAATCAGGAGACTGGGAGTTCTAGTCCAACTTTGTTTTTGCTGCCATCTAGTGGTCCTCTAGATGAAATACCATCCATGGGCTCAAAGTGGGTATATTGTGAATTACACCAGTGGCCCCCACAACATTTTTCATACCAGGATGGGTTTGGGAAAAACAATTTTTACATGGACTGGCAGAGATGGGTGGAGGATGGTTTCACATACTATCTATATCCCATGAATGTGCAGATGAAACCACGCTTGCTTGCTCAACCCAGTTCCTAACAGGCTGTGGACCAAAACTGGTCCGTGGATTCTGGGGTTGGGGACACCTGAATTGCACTATTGATGACCAGGATAGACATGAATTACAGAAAATCATTGATTTGTTCTGTTATAATAATAAGAGTTAACAAAATACTTTACCTTTTGCGTCAATTGAAATCTTCAGTAAAACTATAACTTCATATGAATGCATACTTATCAATTAATCTGTATATTTGTACTCTTTTTAAAGCTACAGTTAATTTACATAATTAATTTACATTGAAGAATAATTGTGCCCTTACAGATATGTAAAGTCTTCTCTTATTTGTTATTAACTCACTTGAAGTTTGTACATTCAGGAGATAATAATTCCATTTTATTAATAACATAATACTGAATGTTGTTGATGTTTGTATAGTAGAATTTAGGTGAGTTAGATTTATTGAAAAACTCACTTTTACATGCTAAGTGATGTAAATCATTGTAGCATTGATTATGCATCAGAGGCATAATAATTATAGTTTAGTATAACTAATGGCTTTTGCAAATTTCATGCTTGTTTGAGCATAAGTCATAAGGGATAAGCAAATGGGGCTTCATTTGTATAGATTCCTCTTGGGATTATATCATGTGATTATGTGCTTTAGTTTCTTAGTTATTTATTCTACTGTTTCTGGTTATAAGCGTAGTATTGAAAAGATAAGAATGAGAAGAATATTGGTAAACTAAAGCTTGCACTGTTCACATAGTCAATCCAGGTTTTAAGAGTTTCATAATTAAAATTTATGGATTATTAAATATTGTGAGTTCATCACATGCTTCAGACATCCATCTAATAAACCAAAAGAAAACTAAAAAAAATCTGATCTTGAAAGCAGCCGTAATTTTTTTTTTTAAAAAATGTCTTTGTATTTTTCTTCTCTTCAGAGCAATTTTTGCACAAAACCAGTTTAAGATAATTACTTCAGGGTTAATTAGAGTTGTAACTCAAGGACTACTTGTATATAAAGTTCATATATCCTAGAGAAGAGTGGTATTAAAAAGTACAAATGTATATTAAGATGCAATTGGGTATAAAAATACAATTTATAGCAAGAACAGAAGAGATCAATGCCATCACCATTACCACCATATTTGTCTATCAAAGTCCAGCTTTTGAGCAAAGCCGATGTTTGGTGATATATCTGTTGTCTTTTGTTTCTTTTAATCCTCCAGGCGGAATGTTCTGAAGTTGTCTTCAGGAATTGATGAACCTGGTGTTATCAAATGGGACCTGGCTCTTTGTCTTTTCCTTGTCTGGGTGATTTGTTTCTTTTGCATTTGGAAAGGTGTGAAGTCAACCGGGAAAGTAAGTTCCTGCTGCATTTCTGACAGGCGATAATGATTTTTTAAAAGAAAGATTAGCTTTGCTTAATTAAAGGCTTGACATGGTGTTTTCTTTAAGTAACGGGTTCATGTAACTCTAAAACATCATCATCTTGAGAGAATTCTAATATAGCACTAAAGAGTGAATTTTGAGCCAAACACTTTAGCTGCTAAGCAGTATGTTCAGAAACTAATTTTAAACCTGAAGCAAATTTGGAACCTAAAATTCCCAACGTTGCCTAAGCAAGGGCTATGGTTCAACTGTTTGAAACCTTTCAAGGATATTTCTAGTTTATTGCAGAGATTGGGAATGCAGTTTCTTATAGGAGCTCATAACTTTTTCAAAGTGCTTTCTAGAAGTCTTAACTTTTAATTCCCCCCCCATTCCTTTTAACATTTATTAATCAAATTTGTATAGCCACCTATCTCACAAAAAGCAACTCTGTTTTTATTCTAAAAGGACATCTTTTATAATCATGTATTAAAAGGATAATTGTACTTTTGCAAGAGAAAACATTACCAGATGGTAATTAGTTAATAGCTAGGTCTCTTTTTATCCTAAAAATATGCAAAAGAATGAAGTACAAAAATCTAGTTAAATTACCCAAGAATGCTTTAATATGCTGTCTTAATTTAAGCAGGGATCCCAGCATTTCATAAAAATACTTGCTAAAAATATTTATCTTATGTTTATCTCAGTAATCTTTTGTGTTTAAATGAATTAGCTTGGCAATAGAATTGACTAATACAATGAATGTAATTTTTTTTCTCGAGTACAAGCCTCAATTCATCTTACTTCATGGTAGATATGTATAGAATTGCATTTCTGATGTCCAAAAATATAACAAAGGTGAAAGAAATGTGATTACCATTAAATATCTATGGAGAATCTCAGTCGTCCAGTTCATAATTGTCTCAAATGGCAGCTGGACTGTTTTTTCCTTGAGAAAGAAGAAGACATTTTGCTTCTCATCTGAGAAGCTTCATTGGTTACCATGACTACCATTAACCACCCTATCTATAGACTATGGTGATTTATCTAACTGTATATATTAACAATGGGGAGGAATAATAAAATAAAATTTATCCATATGTTTATTAAATTTTTATGCTGTACATTTCCCCTATAAGGTGGCTCTGAATGACTTTTAATACCATTAAAAAATAAGATTAAGTGAAAGTTTTCTTTAAAAAATCGGGATGAACTTTTTGTATGATGATGCTTACAAATTAAATTCCTATAATATTTTGAAACAGAAAACAATGAAATTATATAAACATGTTGTATTTAGAGGTCAAACTGTCTGCAGGCTTGTTAGGTGCAGCAGGTATTGGTATCTGTCTGTTAATCTCATGAGGTTTATTTATGAGGCAGGGAGACAAACCTCGAGCTTTTATCTGGCTAAACCAGTTCCATGAAACAGAAGTATATTAAAGTATATTAAACTGAATAGCACAACTGTAATTACCAAATGGCATAATATGACCTTATTAAAAGAATAAAGGAAATTTGCTTTAAAAAGCCAATTTGAAATTAACTTCAAATTGTATGGGTTAATAAAGATTTCCAAAGCCAGGCTTGTACTTAATATTTTGCACTCTCTAGTCAGGAAGACACAAAAGTGCCAACTGGTGGGATTCTTCTTGGGTGATTAGTTACCTGTGGCTTTATGTCAAAACATTCTCAATGAATGATGCCATTGAAAGAGTTTCCTAGAAATCTACATATAATTGACTGCCACATCTCAGTTCTGATTTTGATTACGTGCCATCAAGTCCTTGTTGACTCCCCCCTCCCCCAAAAAAACCCCTGGTCCTTCAGCTCTTCCAATAGTAATTGTTCGTAGCTGTCCTACTGTAACTGAGTCAGTAGTGAATTCTTATTTGTTGTGGTTTATTTGAACCTTCAGACCTGTATAACAACACCAACAATAATATACCACAACTATAAACTTAAATTTCATATTTATACAAATAAAAGAGTTTTTGCTATTTTTGCTATTTTACTTTTTATTACCAGGTTGTGTACATAACAGCAACATTTCCATTCATCATGCTTTTTGTACTCTTAATCCGTGGTGTCACTTTACCTGGAGCTGCAGAGGGCATCAAATTTTATCTTTACCCTAACATCACTCGTCTGTCCGATCCAATGGTGAGTTGCTAAAAATAGGAGATACTGCTAATTTCTTCCCTATGCTCTGGAACAAAATGTAAGGAGGGCAATGGGTTCATTCTGAAGATTTACTGATTACTTAACCAATCTATACTTAACTGAAGTTTTCTACTGTGGTTCACTTTTCCATTTTATTTGTCAAAAAAAGCTATTTTTAATATGTTAATGTATTTTCCATGTGTGTATATCTTTTTGTATCAAAAGGATTCTGAGGCTTGTAGACTCTATCCAAATATAGCATCTCAGCTTTTTTGTTGGTATTAGGCTGTGGACAAGGTAAGGGAAATAATTTGCTTCAGTCTTTAGTTAAATTCATGGAGCAGCAGAATGAATGGTAAGAAGCACTTGTGAGTATTTGCAACTGTCCACTTAGAGGGATGCTCTCTGGGAGGGTAGGTAAAGACCATATTATAACTACAGTGGGAAATTTTTTAAAAAATATAAATGCTTGGAAACAGTTTTTCCCCCCTAATGTACAGGAACCTAGATTGATTGTTTTTGTTTTACTATGTATGGACCTTTTCAACTCCTTACAGATTGCATGTTAAAAATGTGTTGTAGGCAGCCAGAAGATCTGTTTCCTAAATCTAGGGAAATGCAAACCTGTCTATTCAAAAGAAAAAAAAATGAAAGCATGAAACAAGCAGAATCAAATTTAAGGATGCAAAGCAGCCTAAATGTTACAAGGCAAATGGAAATGCCATTGGGTACTATCCATCTCTAGTGCTTTTGCAGCGTACTGAAGTTACGTAAGAAACCGCAAGGGTTCCTAAAAACGCTGCTGCCTCTCTCTCCCTTTTAAAGGCTTGGGGCAATTCTGTATCAGTTTTGAATATCTGATTCTACATGGCTGCAGTAAGACAAACATCAAGGGAGAAATATAATCCTTTTAAAAGTATGGAGTCTATGAAATGCTAACCTGTTTTCAAATTTTGTTTTTTATAAATGTTCTTCTATTTCTGTTTTGTTCTTTGTTCTTGTCTGCAAATGTGGGACTTTTTATTTATGTATATAAACTTATGCTCTTCTTTAAACTCTTTCCGCTTTGAGTTCATTTTCACACAATAATGTTGTAATATGCCACCAATCAACTTTGGTCAATGCAGTATGGTTATGTTGTTAGCAACTGCTGGTCTTATTGAATCAATACTTTTATGATAATGTTATTTTCAAAAGAAAAAAAGATTATGGGTTGCCTAATAGCTAGTAGCTAAAACTAATACCAAACACCATCTTCTGAGCTTGTTGTTTTTCATGTTTTCCTTAGGTCTGGATAGATGCTGGCACACAGATCTTCTTCTCCTATGCAATCTGCTTAGGTGCAATGACTTCCTTGGGGAGCTACAATAAATACAAATACAACTGTTACAGGCAAGTTTCCTACCAAAGGGGATTAGTCTGTTAGCTAATTGATGTGTAAGGAACCATGGGTTCAAATTTTTCTTTAATTAATTTCCTCCATGACATATGTGTGACATAGGGACTGTTTGCTGCTGGGATGCCTGAACAGTGGTACCAGTTTTGTGTCTGGCTTCGCAATTTTTTCCGTCCTGGGCTTCATGGCACAAGAGCAAGGGGTGGACATTGCTGATGTGGCAGAGTCAGGTACGATGGTATTGGTGGCAGTGATGGTGGGCACTGCCATCCAGTGTGTGAGCAAAGTTCGACAAGCTAAATCATCCCAAAACTCAAAGGAGAAAAAGATTAAAAATAAAAGGTATTTCAGCAAACAAAGTAATGATTTATTTCAGTGAGCAGTACAGTTGGAAATGCACTTTTAAAAATGTGCAGAAATACAATACGGACTTTGAACGCTCAGGACTAAATCAGAATTACAGGAAATGTCAATACTTTATCAAGAGTAGACCCTTTGGGGTTTACTCTGCCTTAGCTTCAATGAATTCTCTAATAGGCATCAGTCTACAATCTTCATGGACTCACCATTTTATTCTAAACTACGCTAGAAAATCTGAGTTGTGGCTTTTGGAAGTGCAGCTTATATATTTTTACACAAAACATTGATGGAATTGATGAAGTTTGTAACAAAGTGGCTCAAAATACGAGTGAGAGGGAAACGATAATCTTCCCTGTCACACCTCACCTGGACTTCCAGTATGTGAAATTAGATTAGCCAGTCCGTCTTCCCCAGTTACACTACTGTATCTATGTGTCTAAGGCAATGTGCCATGCATATTTCCAGATGTGGAAGTCATACAGAGATTTTTTTTTCTTTTGATTTGTGTTTGTAAAATATTTTAAAGCTAAGCCTTTTGTTTTCTGAAAGGATAGGTCCCAGCTTATTTCTTTTGAACAAAGCATGCAAATTTTTTGGGACTTCCCTAGTGCACTTGCACAGTTGACATTAAGACATGCTGGGCCAGATGCTCAGTTTATTACAAGTCTATACAATCTACTGAAATCTATAGTGCTAAGACTCGCTGACAGCAATTCAGGCACATGAGTAACTGGTAAAAAGTGTCTTTCAGAATTGGAGAGATTTTTATTGACCATCATGGTTACTGCCCAAGTTATGTATTTTATTTATCTGCCTGTTACGGATTTGCAAGAGTCTTAATTGCTTAAAAAGGTATAAATGTGAATCAGCCATTTAAAGGCTGCATCTAATATCTAACATAATGTACAGCTAAACTGCCAGGAAAAAAGTTTCCGGGGCATGTACTGTGTGGAAAGCAATTCCATACTGTGTTGTGTAACAAATTGGTTCATCATCCTGTGCCATGTCATTGGTGAAGGAATGGCAGTAAGAATTGTATACTTAATTCAAATTTGTATTTCTGCTGTAATTATATATATATATTTCTTAGGGCTCTTCGTGTTTTGAAAACGGTTCGGGCCTAGCACAGCACTTCTCTGCTCTGTCTTAAAGCTGCCTGACCTTTCTCAGGGTTCCTCATGAGAGATGCTGCTGTTGCTGCTGCTGCTTAGAGAAGCCACTTCATTAAAAGAAATGGAATGCATCCTCAAGGAGGGTCATGTTTTCTCCCCAAGCTGGCACCAAAGTCAGGCTGCTTTAATGAATAATAAAGAAGTGGTGCACACCTCTGATATTCAGTCCTGGAGAATGTGGGAGCTTGCTGTGGCTGTTAATGTACTTTAATCTTCAATACAATACAAAGCTAGGTTTACTTAACTCTATTGATTTCAGTTAGTTTATACATTCTTAAGGCAGCAGTCCTGTGCAGTCTAACCCGGGACTAAGCCATTCTGGACACAGTAAGACTTAATTCTGAGTAAGCATGCATATAGGATTATGCTGTGACTCTGGAATGGCAGCCTCTGTTTCTGAAATTTTGCATGCCTTATTCAACCATCCCACTGAAAATAATTTCTATGAAGGAGTACCAAGGCTATATTGATAATAACTATGTTAAATGAGGCCATTAGTTTCAATGGAACTTAGTGTTAGAACAGGATTTCAACTAAAACAGCTTAATGAAAGAATACACTCTAGAATAAATAAGTGAATAATAAAATTTAATAACCTTATGTGAGAACTGGGTCATCTTAGTTATGAATCCAGGGTACTAGAACTCTTTGGCTCTAAGATGTATAGATGGAATGTCAATTTTTTAAAAGGATTTTGTCAAACTGCGCATTTGTTGGATCACAGAAGAAAATAATGACCATTTGTGATCTTTCATCCAGCAGAATATTTATGATTACCTTAACAATGCATAATGCAAGCAGGATTGGGCCCCAAAGTTTCAATCTAAAGAAAGTGAATTGAATCTCTTTCTATTAGAATCAATGGGATAGCTGTAGTTAGTTTAAGGCTTATTAATTTAACTGAGGAAATTGCCGTTAATATATTCTAGGCAGTAGATTTTTAGCATATTTTTGCAAAATATATATTTGGTTAAACTGAACGGAAAATAGAAGGCGGCAAAAGCATACCTGGTGATGGCCAGGTACTAATTCATAGGGCATAATTTCCAGTTTAAAATATGGAAGAAAAGCAAAAGAACAATAAATAGAAATATCTTAGTCCAATTTAAACAAAAAGCTTGCATGTAAAGTGTTGGTACAGTATTTTCCCATTATGGCCAAAGTATCAGTGTTAAATAAATGCAAGCATATTTCAACTCTTTATTGTACCTGAATTAAAGGGCCCCAATATAAAATGATAATTATCTCACATAACTATTAGAGAATTGTGGCTGTTTGGGGCTTTTATTGAATAATCCACAGAGAAAGCAATAAAAAATATACTATTGACTTTGCTGTTAATAATCTTACTTGAAGGACAGTTTTTCAGATAGTATTTGTTGCTTTGTATCCTAAGCAAATAATACTCACTGACTATGTTAGATCTCTGCAAATGGGTTTATTATTGTTGTATTGAGAGAACTTTGGCAGACAATTGTAACCAAGGATGGATTCTATTTGGAATATTCTCCCAAGCCATTACTGTCTTCTAATTTAGAAGCTGTTACATTATTTCCTTTGTTTCTATATTTAAACACAGTATTTTGTGATATTAATAGAATTCTGGAGTTTTACACAACTTCAGGATCTGGCCTTCTCTGGCATAAATCCTAGAAACTACTATTAGGGTTTTGTTTGTCCAAGGAAAAGGTTGTGCATAAATAACCCAAGAGAAAATTAAGAGCTGAAGCTTTTTTTTTTCTCCTTAAAGATCATAGAAATTAGTCATGCAATAATTATATCTCAATTTAGTTCATAAGCTCTCTTTGTGAACGAAGCGTGCTGGGTTCTGCGCTTTTTTTTTCCATTTACCTTTTTTAGATTGGAGCTGTTATAGCTATGCATGCTTCTTTGTCAGATAGAATGAATTCCTTTCTGGAATCTTGAGTTGGGTTTGGGTTTATCTGAATGGAATCGGCCAATTTATGAGGAGCGAGGGGAGGTTTTCGTTCAGAAATGAATTAAGTACTTACTACATTGTCTCCCTTTCCCCCCTTCCTTTCTCTCTCTCTTTATTCCTCTAGGTCCAGGTCTGGCCTTCATTGCTTATCCAAAAGCTGTGTCCATGATGCCACTGCCAACTTTTTGGGCTATTCTTTTCTTTGTTATGCTTCTGTTGCTTGGCCTGGACAGCCAGGTGAGTAAGTGGTAGTAAATGTAATATTTATGGCTTTTTAATAGGAAAAACTGTACATAAACATAATTATTATTACATTTTTTTGCTCTGAAGTGTTGATCCAAAGAAGAATCGCTTGTCTTTCTTCCTATTAAGATTAATCAAGAAAGGTGACAATGTTATTCATTTAACTGTCTCTTATCGTGAAATTTCAGCATAGGTTTTATAATAGGAATCCTCAAAACCTCTTGAAATGGGAGGCACTAGTGGAATTCTGAGAAATTTTTTTGGGGGGGTGATTACAAAATGACTATAGGCAGATGCACAAAATGCCTGCTACAAGGCACATCAGTTAATTTCCAAATGCTTACATGGGGTGGGGGGGGCGCAAAACCAGTTACAAAATACTGGTTTAATATAAAGGTGCTTACTATCCTCTCTAGTTTTTGCCTCTGCTTAGAGGAAGCATATTGGCATGTCTTTATTTACCTCTTTTAACTCTACTTATTTCTGCCCTTTGTTGGGAAAATTGATTTAGCTTCAAAACAAAGTGTTAAAGCTATAAATAATAACATTGGAAATATGATACTGGAAGCTGAAACTATTTTACTATTTCCTTCCTTCCTCCCTCCGTCCCTCCCTCCCTCTCACCCTCTCATTCATATTAATGCATATAAATATAATTAAAATAATCTAAACTTTAGAAAAAGACACAGAAGGTGTCAAATCCAACAGGGTGTCACACTGGGGATTCTACCTCCACAACATAGATTTTATTACTGCATATTTTGTAATGTATACCCCTATTTATTTCTAAAAAAGATACTTTTATAAAACTATTAAAGGATAGACTAAGCCTTAGTTCATTCCTGCCTTTATGTATTTTGCTTCTTAAAATGTTTAGGTAAATCCAATGAAATGGGAATAAAATTCAGAGTAAAAATGGAGGCGTGCCCAGGTTGCTCTTTCTTCTCGTAGCCATATAATTCAAAGGCCTTGATATATGTGAATCGGCGTTTCCATATGCACTGGATATTTTTGCCTGTCCTCAACAATATGTTTTCTGGGAGACTGACTTCTCAAGGCTTTTTTATGTAACACAAAGAAATCTGTTAATAATCTCCAGACTATTACAAGTCGCACAGCTGTCCTAGGATTTTAGAGAGGTCGTCTTTGAAATGGTTTAAGATTTTAAGCCAACAAACTCCTAATTGTTATTTGGGAAAATAGTTAAAATGTTGCATTAATCTACTAGCCTGGGGCAGAAACTTTACTGAATTCAAAACCTCTCATATGGTGGAGATTAGAAGAATTTCCCCTCTGGTTGTTGTTTACTTAATCTCATAATTTGGCAAAGCATTTCATTTGTTCTAAATGGTTCTTGGGGGTTTAATCTTTGAATGCCAGTGAGTGACTTTTAATCACTTCCAAATTGAATGTTCAGACATCCTCAGAGCTGTGGTTCTGCAACCAAGTACTTATGTAAATTAAAGGTTGCCTGGTAATGTTCAGTCATTTCAGTTCAGGCTCACTGTGTCAAATAATTAAAGCTAATTGGAGCACTTAATGTTTTGTTTGCTTTTGGAGCCATGTCAAGCTGGATTTTGGAATGCTACAGCAGCTTAGGAACAAGCTGGATACAGTTACATGGCAGGAGAAAAAGAAAAGTCAGAATTTCTTAAGGGCTAAGATCCCAGATTTCTAAGGATTATTAAGAAGCCATACAAAGCCAAACGTTGATTGGCTGTAGAAGCAAATATGAAATTAAGGACAATAAGGGAATATGCTCACTCTAATAAAATAATAGACAAAAATGCAAGTTATGGAAGAATGTCAGCTCACAGAAGCATTTTAGAACTGCCTCTGTGATATTTGCTTACTTTTTAAAAAAATGTAATACTAAACTTCTCTCTGTAAAGTGTGATTTATTATTAAATTACTTACATGAATAGAACCATTTACTAAAAAAAAGAATCACACAAATCTCTATTGGGTTCTTTTTACTCAATATACAAAGATAGTTTATTTTTACTAACTGAACCACAAAACAAGACAAAAGCTAAAAGATTACAGATTTTAAAAGGGAATGAGTTTTCTTTAAAAAAAAGGGATTGTATACATGCTTGCATGTGTATTTATATCGGGTGAGCATTTTGAGCACCTATATTCCATACTTCTACCTAGTGCTAAATTTTATTTTTCTAATAATGGCTTTTGTTATTATTTCCCATCTTGCTTTGTTTTTATATTAATATATCATAGCTCTATTTTATTAAACATTAATATAGTTAGAAGAGTAGAACAACTAGAAATATCTTAAGGTTTTAATAGGTTTGGATTTACAAAGAGTGTATATATGAAGTGTTTGTACAGCTAGTCCTCTATTTATAACCACTTGTTTAGTGACCATTCAAAGTTACAACACTGAAAAAAGTGACTTTTGACCCTTTTTTCACATTCTTGACCATTGCAACATCCCCATGGCCGTGTGATCAAAATTCAGACATTTGGCAACTGGCATGCATTTATGATGTTTGCAGTGTCCTGGGGTCATATGATCACCTTTTACAAACTTCTGACAAGCAAAGTCAATGTGGAAGCCAGATTCACTTAACAACTGCAGTGATTCACTTAACAACTGTGGCAAGAAAGGTCATAAAATGGGGGCAAAACTCATTTAACAACTGTCTTGTTTAGCAATGGAAATTTTAGGCTCAATTGTGTTTGTAAGTAGCCCTAAAATTTTCCCTTAATTTAACAACTCATCATGATTTATATTATATTTTTAGCAGGGAAAATGGAAGCCAGCTTTCTTAAATGTACAGTTGAAAGGGCCAGATGAAAATAAGGGAGATTTTCATAGGACTTCTTCTCTGAGGATGTCTGATTCATGCTAGAAGGAAATGAGAGGATAGAAATATTTTTCTGTTAAGAAATTATGAAAACCCACTGTCATGCAGACACTACATGGAAAACAGTTTATCAAGTTCCTTCCAAGAATTACTCGGTTTTTCCCTGGAGAGTCTACAAACAGACCTATCTCTTTACTATCTTATTTCTCCTTTTGTTCATAAGTTTTATGCTTGCAGTAACTGAACTCGCATCTAATTAGGAGGTGAAAGGGAAAACAGTAATCCCACGAAGAGCTTATTATCAGCTCCAGTCTTGAATATTGAAACACAGTATATACAGTGCTATGTTAATAAATAGTGAATACTAACTTTTTTTACAAGAGATATATTTTTACACAAGAATAAAATAATACATTGCATTACCCCATTCATTTTTTATTCTCCCCTACAGTTTGTTGAAGTTGAAGGGCAGATCACATCGTTAGTTGATCTGTACCCATCCTTCCTAAGGAAGGGTTACCGACGGGAAATCTTCATCGCTATAATCTGTTTCCTCAGCTATCTTCTGGGACTAGCTATGGTGACTGAAGTAAGTAATTGGCTGTTGTTGCTTTTCTTCTTCTTTTTTTCTATTCAAAGAAGTTACAATACAAGGCGTCATCCTAGTGTAATGGTAAAACAAGTGCTTTGCATAGGGAAGCTCCCAGGAGATGCTCCTTGCCATCTTTATTTAAAACAATTAGGTGTTGTGAAACACATATTCTGCCGGAAAAACCTGGAAAACTTCTGCCCAAATAAACAAGAGAGAGAGAGAGAGAATGCTTCAAAGAATTACTCTGCAAACAATTTAAGCCCCTCTGTATGGTCTTCTAAATTTAGCACATGTTCCAGCCTAGATTCATGACGATTCAAACTTTATAATATTACTCTGCTATGATGAAGCATTGTATTTCTGCAAAACTGTGCTCAACTGGGCAATATGCTACATTCTTGTGTGTGAGATAAGACAGATATGAAAAGAAGCTAATTAAACGTAAAACGTGGAAAACGATGGCTCTCTCATATTCAGAATGTTGTAACTAGGCATTCTCGATAATGCCATGCATGAAAGAAAATAACATGATTTAGGAAAAGAGTTCCACCATCCTTATATTGGGCAACTCTTGGTGAGTTTTACCTAAGTATTATATTCAAGACTTCAGTTGTCTTCAAGACTCAGTTCCTTCCTTCCATCATGTTTCTATAAATGGTGCCCTAAAAAAAAAACCACACAGTTTAAGCAGCAGTATTAGAATGGTGTTAGTCAAGTGGCTTAATTTTATTTAGTCATTGTCTCTTTCAAAATGCCTTCTAGAATAAGGAAAGAGTGCAGGTTTTAGGAAACACATGAGTGTATACTTTTTGATGTCCAAAGAGTTGACTGGTAATTGTATTTGCTGGCAGGAAATTTTGAGAATAGTGATTTAAAGATATGTCACTTACAATGAATGTTTCTTGTGTATCTTTGTGTTGGTATATTAATACCCATCGGGGTTCATTTTTTGTCCTTTTTCAGGGTGGCATGTATGTGTTTCAACTCTTTGACTACTATGCAGCTAGTGGTGTATGCCTTTTGTGGGTCGCATTCTTTGAATGCATTGCTGTAGCCTGGGTTTATGGTAAGTTGGAAATTAAGTTCTGATCTGACCATTTCCCCACAGCAGCATTGAAAGCTACAGGGATCTTGCAACACTGTAATATATTTATTAGAGTCAAACAGAATTAGAGGACAGAGAGATGAAACCTTACAGGCCAAGGAAGGAATTTATTACATGGCTTCTCTGCATAGTGGGGATTCAGCCAAGTACTTCAAAATTCTTGGAAAACATTCTCACTTGACCTCCAAGAACTGAGTTCATTGCTTTCCTCTTTCTTGTAATGCTTCATTTTAAGGCTGTAAAAGTCCGCCTCGCCTCCTGAAGTCATAAAAGGACAGATTTTAGGGGCCAAGAACTACAGTATTTTTCCCCCTATTGCTTTTATCTGCTTGGTACAAAGAACAAAACCTCTATAGAACAATTTAAGTAGCAATGCCGTAAACACTGGCTGTACGATGCCATCATTTTTATTTCACAATATCAGGTTAGTTGTATCAACTGCACAAGGAGATAAATAAAGGAAGCCCTTTCCAAATTTAAGAACACCAAAGCTCAGGAGAACAAAGGTATAGAAGACAAAAGCAAAAGAATAAAGGCTTTCACGGAGCTTTTCACACTCCCAACACAGTAAATGCATTTCTCCTTGAAAATCTAGCATAGCTGTAGAGCATACTGTACATAGGCAGAATATGCAGAGTAATACAATTCCTTTCTTCTGTGTTGAAACTCTAGGCGCTGACAATTTTTACGATGCCATTGAAGATATGATTGGTTACAGGCCTGGTCCTTGGATGAAATGGAGTTGGATTTTAATCACACCAATTCTCTGCGTGGTAAGGATGGACATGTCTTTGCCTAAACTTGATTTAGAATATTTTTGTGAGTCTAATTAGCTTTTTGCTCCTTGCATTATCTGAAAAGAAATAAGATTGAATAGATACAGTGTTTAATGAGTAATGTGTCTAATGTGTAAGCTCTTCATTGATTACAAGATTTTTACTGACCTGTAACTGGCTTCTATAGCTGACATGTTACCTTTATCATTAAAGGAGCAATTTTGAGGTGAAAGATGGGTTCATCTAGCATTTTGAAAACATGTAGCTAATAGCATCCATACTGAATGTTTGTGTGGGCATTGTTTAATTTACAAATTGGTTACCACTGTGATGGTGGCCAATGACCAAGGGTTGTGCAGTATTGCACAGTCTAACTCTGCCCACAGCCTGGAGTTTGTCCCTGATGGGTTCAAGGTTGACTCAACCTTCCATCCATCTGAGGCCAGTAAAATGAGGACCCAGATGGTTGGGGGCAATAGGCTGACATTGTAAACTGCCCAAAGAGTGCTGTAAAGCACTATGGGGGAGTGTATAAGTCTAAATGCTATTGCTATTGCTATTTTTGTCTTTTTTTTCTGGATAGGCTGGCCATTTCCAAACAAAATACTGGACTGTGGCTACCTACTATTTTTTCTAAAAAACACCTAAGAAACAGAGATGTATTTGAAACTAAGGAACCTAAGGAACTATGTGGAATGAAGAGTGTCTGACACTTTCCATGTTTGAATTAAAAGAATCTTCTGAAATGTCAGATGTGGCAAAGAGTCTGTGCCCACAGATCCCAAGTCACCTGTCTATTAAAATCTTGAAAGACCCTTTTTTGAACCACTTTCTCTTTGGAGGTAAAGCAAATAGCCACCAGAATAGTGAGCACCCACATGGTGAAAGTCCCTTCCCAGTACATTTTCCCTCTCTATTCATTATATTTGAGAAGTAAGCAAAACCCATTGGTTTTAAGTAGGAATGCCCAAGCATCCCATTATTCTCCTCTCCAAAGCTGAGAAAATAGTTCATTTGTAAAAAGGTGTTGGAGGACTGCAAGTCCTTTTCTGCTGTCCCTGCTATCACCTAACTGGAAATTATACTATGTGAGAGGGCAAAAGGTAGACACAGCAATCAATGCATCATAAGCTCTTCCAAAACTGGAGAGTGGGTTTTGAAAGAGCCTACTGTGGGCAAGGATTATATGAATGGCAAGGACATCTGGAAATTTGAATTTAATCCTCATGGGAGGAAACAGTCTATCATGACTGCTATTATAAGGTAGCTTGTCTTACAGTAAATTGGTACTTTAGTTGGTGAAAACCACAGTGGTAGCCATTTTTAAAATGCAAAAGTATCCACAAGGTTCTTCTGTCAGAATGCCCAACTACAAGCTCTCAAAATTGTGATTGTAGCCACTGGACCAAAAATGTATAGTGGTAGCTGGGAAAGAAATGGGGGAGGGGTTCATTGTTGATTAGAAATTAAGGTAACAGCTGCATACAAGACACTTTGCAAGCAAGAACCTGTATCAAGCTTTCAGTGCCATCACTAAATGCTTTTTGTGATAATTCAGAGATTCTTTTAATTGCATGTTTTAATCATCTCACTGATGGCTGTGTGGTTAACTAGCTGTTAACTAAAATGGCAGCATATTTTTTAACAACTATAAAGCTGTTTGTGGCAAAAGATATCCTGCGTGTGTGTACAGATGGCATTTGAGAAGGGTTCTAAGCTTCTGTTTTTAAAGACATTGGCATTTGTGGAGCCTCAGTTACTATTTTTTTTTAAGTCAGGCATCAGACATGCATATTTGTCAAAAACATCCTTTGCCCCAAATACAATAACTGGAACAGCTGAATAGATCGGGTGACATGTTATGCAACCCAAGGTAAAACAAATAAGCAGTGTTATGGACATATAAAAGACCTTTCTTCTTTGTGGTGTGTGGTAACACTACTCAAGTTAATTTTCATGCTTTATTGCACACCATAATTATTTATACTTGCTGTGAAACTTGAATATTGAAGGAACCAGGAAAACAAAACTGGCTTAGCTAACTTTTTGTTTAAAATTTCTGTAGCATAACCCTGAGTTTTTAAAGTACAATTTTATGGATATTTTCTTTCCTCATTTAAAGATTAATTCATTCCAAAGCTTTTGCAAGAGTTAGGGAGGTAAGTTCAGAGGCCCAAGACTTTAAAGAAATACCGCCATCTCTACCAAGGTAAAAAGACTATAAAGACTTAGGAATAAAAAAGAGACTCCCCCCCCCCCAAAAAAAACCCTCTGTCCTTGAAAAAAAAAGGTTATTGTCAGTTTCATTTTCCTTTCATTAGACTAATCACAGATAATGTAAACCAAAGCTGGGTAAGTCTTAACAATATTTGGGAACTAAGGCTACAATAGATACGGTAATGAAGTGAAGGGGGGGAGGAGCCAAGATTTTATACTTTTCCTTGGGTTTTAAGGACTTTTTTTAAGAATGGCGTTTGGATTATTTTACAGTTTTACATTATCGCATTTTGCCCTCTAAAAAGTCTGTTGATTTCAACAATCACAATTAAAAAGGCTCCAGGGACCCCCCAACAAGGTGTTTGAAAGGCTGTTGGTGACTCATTCCACTATATAAATTGTTGTTTGAAGAAAGCATAATTGTTTCATGTGCTTGAATCTCTTTGCTTTATTTTTTTCTCTAACACAGGGGTGCTTCATATTTTCTCTAGTCAAGTATACCCCCCTGACCTACAACAAAGTCTACATCTACCCTACGTGGGCAATCGGTCTGGGTTGGATACTTGCTCTTTCATCTATGATCTGCATCCCATTGGTTACAGTTATCCGTATCCTGCAGTCAGATGGCTCTCTCCTTGAGGTAAATCCAAAACAACTATCAACTACCAGAACTTTTAAGCATTCAAACAGATGGTTTTCTTTGCAGCGGTCTTTCTGATCCCTTAACACAGCAATTCATCCAGGGCTGGCATGTAGTTTCTACAGCTACAAAGATGTTCTCAGGCATTCATTTCAGCAGATGTGGTTATTGTACAGGCACTGTTTTGATACATTTTTAGTTCTATTGAACAGAACAAGATTCGGTAACACTTTAAACATCTGTCTTTTGATCATATTCACTTATTGGAAAAGATTGCTGAAACAAATTCAGCAACTGGTTAGTTGGAAAATGGAATATAGACAGGAGAGTTTAAACATTGGTATGATGCGAAATAACAAATTAGATTTGTATCACTTGAATTGTAAACCTTCTATCCCAGATTATTTTCCTAAAGTAGAGACTTTCAACTTTTTCAGCCCTAATAGTACCTGTGTCTTCAGTGAGGAAATGTCTATTATTATTTTTTGAAAACCTGTCTTTTAATGATAGCATACCATAGCAAGTCACCCCCAAGACAGGACCATGATCTAGAACAGGGGTTCTCAACCTTGGCAACTTTAAGACTTGTGGACTTCAACTCCCAGAATTCCTCAGCCTGCTTTGCTGGCCGAGGAATTCTGGGAGTTGAAGTCCACAAGTCTTAAAGTTGCCAAGGTTGAGAACCCCTGATCTAGAACTTGATCCCTATCCAATACTCAGTGTGCTTTGCATAGCTTTTGTACTATATCATATTTTCTCATATATGATATATATGTACCAAGAGTACATAGTATCATACAATCAATGTGCAAAAAAAATAGAATATACAGTTATGTAGAAGCTAATCATTTATTTGCTTTCTATGTTCTGGAGCCAGTTTGTATCCTTTCAATTTCCTGAACAACATTTTCTTCAAAAGTGGTTTGCCCTTGGCTGAGAAAGAGGGACTGATCCAAAGTCACCCAGCTGGTTTCCCACCTAGGGCTGGATTGGAAATCACAGACTCCCAGTTTCTAGCCTGGAGGCTTTAAACCACCATACCAGACTGACTCCTTTTATATAGAAGCTATTCATTGCCATGAAGTCACAGAAAAGTTAGGATAAATTTTGATAGTAGATTTCAAAAAGATTTCCAAGATCAGGAAGTCCTATGGTATTCTCAGATAACACACATCTCTCCTTATGCACACTCCATAAAAGTTGCACATTTCATTTGTATCACGCACAGTGTGGAAGGAGCTGACTTCATTAGCTACAATATGAGTTGGGGAGCCATCTAGTGGAAATTTAACCTCCTTCCTTGCATTACTTTCCTAATTGGCCTCCCCTGTTTACATTACTGTACACTTTCCTAATGATAAGATCAGCTTTCTCATCCCAGCCTGGTAAGGGGGTAGACAGTGGCTTCTGGGATCAAAACATACCCAATTGGTTATCACACCCTCTATAAATATACTGCTTGATAATGGTCACACTTTGGTTTAACTAAACATGTGAATCAGAATCCTTCTACTATTTGAAGTATGTGATTATAAACTAAGGAAAGCTGCTTATCCAACCTCTTGCTCTATTTCCCCAATCAGTCTATTGGAAATTCATAAAGAGAACAGTTTGAAAATAGTAAATTTAATCAGACTGAAATGGTACTTCTTGACTTGCAAGGAAGGATAACAATCTCTCATATTCTATTGCATGGTAAATAGCTGTCATATTTAATAATATGTACAGTACTTTTTGGAATGGAACATCAATGTGCAGCTTACTAAAGCAGCCATATCTTTTTCATGGCTGTGTGAATTTGGAAAAAGCAACAGCCAATAACTACTGTGTATAAACTTCGCTATATTCCTAAGTACCTCTTCCTATTAAATCCAAAATAGGCAACATCTTGACTATTTAATATAGACTTAGCCTCCATAAATTTGGAAGTCTCTTCATTTCCATGTACGCTTTTCTCCCTAGAGGGTGAAGACAATGGCTGCTCCTCGCGAGATCACGCGGTGGGACAAAGAAGCCGAGGTTGCTGCCACGTTCGGCCCTCCTGGCCTGGCCAACGGAGAACTGGCCAAGAAGCCAAGTCATGTCATCGTGGAGACAACAATGTGAGCTCTCTCTATGAGAGGAGGACACCTGCTTTAAAACTGCTGTTTACTAACCATAGAATCTTTCATAGGACCAGGTTTACAGAGCTTTATATTTGCACTAGGGTTATTTTTATTTCTCATAGAGAAAGTAATTTTTTTGTGTGTTTGGTTTTTATTTTTTAATATTTTGTAAAGTAAATCACAGCAGATGGCTGTCCTGCTCTATTTAGAAACAGAGCTTTCATATCAAATTAGGCACACTGCAGGAATTTATCTTCTGTTTTCCACACAAGCATATCTAACTAACTTTTATTCATACTGCTAAGTTACCATGTTTAGTTGATTTTTCTTGCCAACAGTATACCCAGGCGCAATCCTATGCAAACACTGTCTTGCAAATACGCCTCAATGAACATAACGGGACTTAATTCTGAGTAGACATATGTAGGATTGCGCTGATACGTATGCATACATGTGCACATATACAAGCTTTAGATTTCTCTGAGTGTTGATGTGGTTGGGAACAGGGTAGTGCAAAATTTCATTTTGGACTTTTTTTAACCAAAAAAAAAAAAAAAGCTCTGGCATTTTAGAAACTGGTTTTTAATTAACGGTGTGGCACTATCTTCTTCTGGTAGAAGCAGGTAGAATTAAAGAAAAAGTACATGTTTTTATGTTGCTGTGAGCCATGTGGGAATATATTTACATGATAATTGGAAGCTGCAATATTGTAGCTGCAATTGTTGTATGTCACCCAAAGTAATTTTTTTTTATGAGATGGGCGGCCATGTAAATTTGATAAATGAATAAATATAAGAGGGAGTTGGAACCAGGGGAATAATCTGAGCAGCTTGTGAACAGGCTCTAAGAAGGTGGCAGAATCATTCTTGCTGGAAAGCATTTTAACTGATAATCTTTGGGGGGGGGCAGAGGAGATGATTTCTTCCATCAAAGGAAGAATTGATTCTACATTCAGTAACAAGTTTCTATGCAGATTTAAATACAGATTGGAGTACGGTTGAGTTTCTCTTAGATTTAAAGAGTTGATGTAAAATGCTGGTAAGCCTGAATCTGTCACCTAGTGTTATCTCACTCTTAGACAGAAATGTAAATTTGACAGTGTAATCATATAACTAAATGTATAAACTGGCCCATTCTTGTAGTCTGCACCTGAGAAATAAGTCATTTGGACTTTGATTTTGTTAGAACATTAAGTTAGTGTCAGAAAACCCTTTACATAATGCTACATTTACAAAGATACTGCAAATCATATTTAAAGTCACACATTTGCCAAACTTTATCTTTGTTAGAACGAAAAAAGGAGTGGTGGGCCTGTATCGTACCAGTCAGCTAAGTTGCATAGTGTTGAGTGCAGATGCAGAAAAAAGTCCACTAGAACCTATTGATGAAGCTACTGAAACAAGAAAGCACAGAAAGAAAAAGGAGAAAGAGAAAGAGTAAATAGACTGATATTCACAGGGTTAAACTGACATGTATATCCATTGATCCAAGGAAACACAAGAAGATCAAGTAAGTTATACATTTATTTTAGACTGAACGAGGCATAAAATACTCAACGGAAGTTTTATTGGCAAGTTAAGTTCCCCACTTTTTCCAGAATGAGGTTTTGCCTCTGGAAAACTCACCCCAAATCCTGCAAAACGTTTGTTTTCAACCTTCATTGAGTAATGGCTCAATCCTTTTCCATATGGGCATTGATCTTGGGGGAAGGGTGCCCCCTTTAAGCTTTATATTGGTAATAGACACAATTTGAGCAGGATTGTGAGCCAGAAATTGCAAAACCCCTTTCCTTTGTAATCTCTGCTAATTTTGTCTGTCAGTGACAGAAACTGTAGTTGAAACTGGAACTTAGCCAGTATTTGAAAACATTCCTATATGCTTTAAGAAAAGAAAGAAATTAAGAATCAGTTTGTGTCTTATGCTATCTATGGCCACTGCATATGTATTATGCACATACTTGTTATGTTAGGTTTTATATATATATAAACACTATAAATAAAGGACCAAAACAGTTATTTCAGGTGTCTTGTTTAGCTAATATTTGTTTGTGGATGGAATCTGTGATTTATTTTATTTGAGGGAACACAGCTTGCAGTATATGCAGGTGGCCATGAATGGAAATGCTTTGCTTTCTTGTTACCAAGAGCTGATAAGTAAACACTTCCAGAATACAAACCCTTTGGAAATTGTTTATCTTCCTACTGTACTGAAAAATGGCCAGTAAAAAGGTTAGTTACAAAATAAGCAAGGAAGCCAAGAGAAAGCTACTGTTTGCTTTGTTTTCTAATCCTGCAAAACCAAAGATGCAGGGCATTGGTATCGCAAACTCCATTGCATTCCAGATAGGACTGCAGCTTAATTAAATGAAGCACAAGTCACTGGTATCATTGAAGGCAGCGAGAAATTAGGATGAAGGCAAATCTTAACAGTTCGTTCACTTGACTTCCCTGGTGCATTTTACATGAAAGATAGTGCAATATTTTGCTAGTTTCAAGAACAGCCACTGAACCAAAAGCAGATATATCAACCGAGGGGATAATCTAAAGCAGATAGCATGAGAAGATGTATTTCATGAAAAAAAACAGAGAATCAGTCCCACACTGTAGACTTCCATCTAAGAAAAGTAGTACCCAACCTATTTCAAGGTTAAATTCTGTGATCAGAATTGGTTCCTTCCAGCTAAACAGGTTTTCTAATCATGACCTGAAGTCATGAAGGACTCTTACAAGAAAAAAATAAATAAATTGTCACATAAGATTTAGCCCATCAACCTTCAGTTTTTGTTTCAAGGATCATATTTTCATAGAGCAAAACTTGTGAATAATAGAATGTGTTATATCTGAATGTTAAGAATAGGTTCTGCTGAATAAGGCCAATGAATGGGAGGGGCTGGGCAGGGAAAACTATTAATCGTTTGTATTTTCTACTTATTTATGACTGCAAAACGATTGATTTTTTTTTCTAATTCACTTTGTAGAATTATGTGGCCTATTTTATCCATCATTTGTAATGAAGAAGTTAAATATTCAGTATTGTGACTAACTTGTGGGTGAACTGGTTTGGATATAGGGGTGGGGTGGGGATATTCTTAATGTTTATTCAAAGAAATTGTATTTCCAAAAAAGGAGGGGTGGGGACCGGGAAGAACATTAGAGTACAACAATTTGTTGTCGTGGAAGTATGGCTTGTTTCCTAAACTGCTCTAGATATGCATAAGGTGAAAAAGTTTATAACAGGTTTAAATGGGCATTTGCTAATGTCTAGTCAAAACAGTTGGACATAACCTGTGTTTGCAACTGGCCATTTCAGGCTTGTTTCCAACCAAGGCAGGCTCTTTAGATGTCTGGAAATGGGTCCTTCTCTTTGTCCAATCTTTCAAGCTGTCAACATTCTTAGAAGTAGCTATAGTACTAATGGAAGGTATGGTTAAATAATTGAATAAATAACCCACAATGTCACAATATATTGCCTTTAGACATTTGTACTTGTTTATAATGAAACTAAACCTACTAGGCAGAGTATCAGTCCAGCTAAAAACCTAGTGGAAATAAATGATTTGACTAAGAATTGAATGGCCATGGAATTGCGAAGAGGAAGAAGTGGAGAACAGATGATTTCTAACAAAAGAAAACCTAAAATTCTGGCAGGCTTCATTTTTATTTATTTTTTGCTTTTGTGGTCATCATGAAATCTTCCATATTTACACAAAAATAAAGTACCAGGTCAATAAGTGAAATCTGCTTCTGAGACAACGTGTAAATACCAGTGTTGTAAAAGGAAAGTTTGGAGAAGCTAGAAACATTTTGGAATTTATGATTGACAAGTCAGCTGCCCAGAGTCATTTGGTGTGGGCTGACTTAATAAATAGATAAAACAATTGTCATAGCTTGCTTTAGCTAAGAGGGCCTAAGACCAGATATTTTAGTTAACACAGCCACTTATTCCACAAACTCTTTAAATGCACAGTTGCTACAGATATAGGCCAAAAATAAACAAAAAGTGATTGTCTACTGAAAAACAATCTTAATCCCCCGATGCACAATTTTTAATTGAATATTTCTAGCAATCAATCCAAAATTGAAAACTCACTTTTTAAAGTTTTTTATATATCCTAAGCTGAAGTATCTTCCCTTGCTGAAAGCAAATCAGGAACACTTCAGCCCTTTCACCAGTCTTGACCAAATATCTAGTTGAGTCATAAGTGTCTCTACTCCCCTAAATTTGCCCCGTAGTAAAGCCACTGATAGAATCCAAAGTCTTGCTCATAGTATTAAGTAATCTTGATAAACCTAAAGGGCGACTTTTGCAGGTCTATAGTGGTCTACCAAAAAGGATTACACTCTTAATGCTAATCAGTTGACAGGGAAAATCACATAACGTTCAATCACATAACGTTCATACAGTTCCATCTACGGCATTAGTATATTCCATCAGCCCATGTCCAGCTTTCTATCCTGTTTAAAAGGAACAGCAGCCTGCCTAATCTGCATTTAAGCTAAATTACTTTGATTCTGCTATGCAGGAGAGGTGGAAAAGAAAAATTACAATATGCACACTCTTTTCAGGAAAGAAGATAAGGCCATGCACTTAACGAATGTAATATGCTTCTGAGGCATATGTTTCTGTCTGTAGAATTAGATCAGAAACTTAGCTTTACACAATTGGATCCAAATCTTTGGAGAAGAATCAGTATTTTTCTACAGTAAAGTGTGGCAAAAGGAAAATAATACGTTATCTAAAAATATAGAAGTTGACATTTGCAGATTTCAAAATACACACTGTGCAGGTTTGGCCAAAGAGAATACTTGTTCCAGAGATCTACAGGCTCATTCTAAACATGTACTTGCAAACAAGCCATACCGTGTTCAGTGGAAGTTCCTTTCTAGTGACTATGCTTAGGGCTAGAACCCTAATCTTGCAGTTTGTGGCTGGGCTCAAGGAACATATACAGTAGAAAATGTCTAACCCACATTTGCCCAGTCCTGGTTATTTCAGAAGCCAAGTGGACTAAAATAGCTGTCTTTCTGAAGATCGTATTCTAGATTGCATAATTAACATAAGCTCTCTTGGGAAAGGGAACGAGATTGCATAGTTAACAAGCTGTCTTGGGAGAAGAAAGAGGACTAACAAGCTCCCAAATGACCCACTAATGATCAGCAACAGGTGTTACACAGCAACAGGCAGACACTGACATTGTAGCCAAATCATGTTGAGTGGCTGTGTCATTTGCTAGGAATGGAGGGAGTCGGACTGTAAGTAACCAAATGCCAGCCTGAGATTGTTCACTAATGTCTCTTCAACAGACCTCAACCTGTCAGTGCTGTACTCTGATAAATTCACTGTTGTACTAGAACATTTTTGTGTCATTACTGTAGCTGTGCGGTTGCAATTATGAAAGGAATGCCACTCCAGAGGTTTTATGGTTATAAAATAAGGCAGACATCTTTATTTCTACTGAAAATGTTGGTGTGCATTTTTAATTCTGCAAATCCACACTTATGACTACTAATGAGTAGCTGTGTGGATTAAGAGGAGGCTATCCTCTTTTTAAGAATAATTTTTAGAATAATTTTTTTAAAAAGACGTTTTAAAACTGTCATCTTTGTTCCAGAAAGGAATATTTATATAGGAGTAAGAATTTGGCTTGTATTCAGCCCTGAAAATTAGGTGTTTTTTTGGTACAGTATATGTATACAGTAAATGTTTGTATTTTGCAGTTTTATCCGTTTTGCTTTTTAGATAAATGAAATGGGTATCAATATTTTAAAGTCATTTTGCTTTTTTTAAGATGAGTTTGTAATCATTGCAAATAAACAATAAAAACCTTTCATGTATAAAGTGAACAAATAATTCTTGTGGTTTTTTTTTTCTCCAAATGCCTTCAAGTAAGTTTTCATTTAGATACTTATATAAAGTTTAAATGCTATTCTACTGAGTACTATTAACATAAAAATGACATGTCTGCATCTTCACTAATTTATTAAATTGTGATCTGTAAGACTCGTTGATACAGTTTATTATTTAGGGCTTGTTAAAATATTTTATACCATATTTCTAACATTCTTATTAGAATTCAACAGAAAATATTGAAAGAAAGAAATGGCTATGTATAGGGGTACATTTCTACCTATTTTGTTGACCAAGGAAAAGTGGATAGAGTTACTGAGATCCTCAAAAACTGACGTGGCGAGACGTATCGGGACTGTTTTGCCATTGCCGGCAATGGGGTGGGGGCAGCTTCCGGATGACGCATCTGGCCCGCAGGCCGGCAGTTTGATACCACTGCCCAAAAAGAATATGGGAAGAACCGAAGACCATTTGTGAGGCCTCGCTGCACTTTAAGCATACAAATTATAGTGAAAGGTGATCAGTGCCATCACAGCAAATTTGCATTGTGTTATTTTCATGATCAGCAAAAGTAATAAATCAATGGATGAAGCAGTGAAATTTCCCTCGACCCTTTCCTGTTAGAATGAGTCAAATCATGTTGGCACTGTCGTTTTAAAATTTTCATATTAATTTATTTGTTTTGCAAGAGTTGACAAAACCTGAATAACTCATCCCCATCTTATATCAGAGATCCGTATAGATAGTCCTCAATTTACAACCATTTGTTTAGTGACCGTTCAAAGTTATAATGGTACTGATAAAAGTGAGTTATGATAGTTTCCACACATATGACTGTTACAGCATCCCATAGTCACGTGATCAAAATTTGGCCGCTTGGCAACTGGCATGTATTTATGATGGTTGCAGTCATATGATCAACTTTTGCAACCCTCTGAAACAAAGTCAACGGGGAAGTCCGATTCATTTAATAACCATCTTAATAACAGCTGCAATATGATTCACTTAACTACTGTGACAAGAAAGATGATAAAATGGGGAAAAGCTCCCTTATCTGTCTTGCTTAGCAATGGCCTCAATTGTGCTCATAAGTCGAGGACTACTTGTACCAGTGTTTTTTATGACAATGACAGCAATCCTCTCCTTAACAGGAGAGCGTGAAATGAAGTATTTGTTCTCTTGCCTAATATTGGAAGAAGAATTGGAGAAACTCATAATCAACTATAACATTAATTTCTTTCTTTTAAGCCAAGCTGTAGCCTGATGTTGCATTATTTGATATAATTTAATTTTTATTCAGTATTTTTTGAGCTGTACCTGTCTGATTTATTACAAAGAATATACAACAGCTGTTAAGTAAATAAATAAATAGCCATTTTCTCTAAATGAACTACCTCCTACCAGCACGTGTGAAAATGAATTGACATTGAGCAAAGGAAGTGTTCTCGTTTGATTTTTGCATGGCTGTAATTCAGAAGAGGAATTATTGCTATGTGTTATAAAAAAAGGGCATTGCGAGAAGACATGTGGAATTGTTTCAAATGACACAGACAGGATCATGCTTACATGGGACTTTCTGACATTTTCTCCAAGGGAGGCAAAAATTGTATCAGACAAGGTTAAGGGCTCTCCTTCGAGATGGACAAAGGATGTTGGCTAGTATTTTATCAGAGCCAGTGGTAAAGGCATCAAGGCACCAAGGCAAAGGTAGTGGTAAAGGGACCAAGCTAAAAACAAGGAGACTGAGTTCTAGTCCCACTTTACCCATGAAAGCCAGCTGGGTGACCTTGGGCCAGTCATTCTGTCTCAGCAAAAACCCCTCACAAGGTTGTCGTTGCATGGAAAATAGAAGTAAGGTGGATAATTCACTGTCTTGAATTATTTGTAAAAATAATAAAGGTGAGAAATGCATACATACATACAGTCTCCCAGACACCCATGGTTGCCAAGTAAAGATTTTGATTTTGAGCAAATCCTCTTGAATGTTTCAAATTTAACCAGGCTTTTTCTGGTCCAAAAGAAGTCAAATTGTAAACTGAAGAACCATAATAACTAGACCAGCTATGATCCCTTCCACGTGGCTAAGAATTCATCCAAGAGGAAGGAGGCCATGGTATTACTAGGAAAGAGTAATTTCATTGTGTAATTCTCCAAGAGAGAGACCTCCCCTGCCTTAATAGGTAGCACTTAATGGCTACCCAAGGGCCAGACCTCCGAAGTAAAGTATGTTAGAAGCAATATTTTTTAACATTAACTGGAAGTAAAAAAATCCGTGTACAGGTGTCTACGTTCAGCCTCACAGTTACTGTAAAATTAACGTAATAGCAAATTTGAGTTCTGGGGATTTCATAAACACATTTCTGTAGTTATTTGTGAATGTAAAGTCATATGGCAAAGTAAGAATCAGCACTATGACTAAGTTGGGCACAAGCGCTACAGTTTTTCCAGAATGTCAGTAGCAGAATTGTAGAAGATGTCTTATGCTGCCATCTTACAAAGACTTCCTTGAAGTAAAAGCCTGTCAGTAAGACAAGATGTCTTACTTGTTTCCTTTGCTTATATTATAAATCCTTTGGCTCTCATAATGATCATAAAACTACAGCTACCTTTGTGGAAACAGATGTAAATCCTACAGAAAGGTCACTATGATAAGTTAACTTTCTAAAAAAAAACATACATTATAATTTATTTTGCTTTATTTAATTTAAAAAAAATCTAAGGAATTGTAATACCATTTAAATACACAGATTTACAAATAGGTCCAAAACAGGACTAAAATATTCTTTGAATATTGTGCTTTCATAGATACATAAGAAAATTAGCATATAAAAATATTTTGTACAGGAATACACTCTTAATATATGGATAAAAATACACATTTAATGCATTTCATCTTTATATCATTCAAAATGCATAGGAAGGGATACAAGGACAATTTTTAAAGCCTTATTAAAAGTCTTCATTAAAAACCTAATTGAAGCCACATGGAGCTTCTGCCATTATGAGAATATTGCATATAAAACCCCCATTTTCCACATATCCATCAGTATTTCTTTTTTTGTTTTTTTTATGGCACATTATTTAGGTTATGGCAGCAATGGTATGGAATATTGCATACTTTGAGAAGAGAGAATGGCTACAGCTAGAGACAGCCCAATAAGACTCATGCACATCTTGATAAGAAAATCACGGAGATAGCAGTGCTGTGAAATAGCAAAAAAAGATACTGTATATATATGCTCACAGCTTGGACTGGGTTCAGACTAGAAACCTCCTTGGATCAGCACTCATCTAACAGGTGTTTCCAATCTTGACCAAAACGTGGCATCTCAATATGGATCAAAACAGTAGAAAATGACAACAAAATTAAAACCATTAGAAAGGAAGAGAGAAGCCAGTTGTCCCATTCAATGAGGTAAATTCCCAAGTAAAGGTCAACTTAAATAGTCAAAATAAAGTGTGCTTCCATAACCCACTAGCATAGGCAATGACTGGCCAGGTAGAAACCACAAATCCTGGCATTTTCCCCTTTTGAAATGAAGAAATCATGGCCTCTTTTGAAATTGTTAATTGTAGGCAGATAATTAAAAGAATGTGAGAATCACACACACGACAGCACTACAAGAGGATTTGACTCAGGAGGCTGATGCAAGGTCCTGGTTTACAAAGGCATCATGCTCACAAGTCATAGAAGAAAAGGTAATTATTGAAAAACATGGGGATGCTGCTACTGATAGGTTACAACAAAGTGTCAAGCATCATCATGAGATTAAACAATTGTACACATTGCACTGGAGCAACCCACAGAGGATGTACTTGGAGGTACGAAATCTAGAGACACTGTCTCATGCTACAGAGTAACCAAGGTTCCTTCTACCATCACCATCACACAGATCATTAAGGGGAAGAAGACTTTGATGCAAGTGACTTATGTTCAGCTGCCCACTCATAACTGTGTACAAAAAGGACATCTGGGAACAATTTGGGGGCTCTGTTTGTGCTCAAAAATAAATAATGTGGTCCAAGAGACTTCATGTTCCCCATGCAATGCTATATAATAAGTGCTTTCAAGAAATGGTAGATGGAGAGTAAGAAACTCAGTAAGAAATTAAGCTGGGCAATATTTTAAAGGTGAAACATATTTCTGTTACCACCCAAAGAATAAATTACGGGGATTTTGAAGGTGAAAAGTATTTCTGGTATCTCCCAAAGAATAAATTATGGGGAAGGTGTTTGTCAGAGCTTCATCTTCTTGATGAATAGGTTGTCTTTTAAATTAAATCCAAAAGTAAAATGTGCACTTAGTGTCAAAGGGATGCGTGACAGTGATCTGTGAGAGTGTGCAGGGGAACTGAAGAAGGGGCTCAAGGAGTGTTGTAGGGATGTCTTTCACAAAAAAAGGGGAATCCATTTTAAGATTAACTTAATTTGATTAAACAAAACAAAAACAGCACCATGTATCCAAGTCCTTCAAGGCCGGGGAAGAGAAGATTGTGCTCTATTAGCCCATGCATTGGAAACACTCATATGATGAGTAAGGTTGTTCTCCTGTGGGTGAATTATTCTGGGTGGTGTTGTCAGCAACTGGCTCCATCCCTGACTAGTTCACTCCATCTCAGCTTGAACCTTCAAAGCCAAGTTGTGTTGACTTCAAAATGTGATTGGTCGGGGGAGAGGAAACATCTCTTCACAGCAACTGACATTACGCAGATTAAGCATAAGTACGAGTGCAAAAGAAAACAAATAAACAACAACCAAAATAAAAACTCTCACACATCACACAACAGACACCCATTAATTCCTTTGCTCCCACAGAACCTTGAGAAAAGCAGACACCAAGCCTAGCTGTCCTTCAGAGTGTCTGTGCGCTGGTCTTCACCTCCCCTCCAACTGACGGCTGGTCTGGAAAGCTGCTTGGCTCCTGTAGGCAAGTATTGGCAATGAAAGCCAAGGGGTTTCGACTGATTACAAGGTCCAACTTATTTCCTGCCTCAGATATCAGAGGAACAGCCAGAGAGCAATCAAAGTCCCTTGTACGGATGCAATTCACCTGAAAGAAGGGAAAATCCATGGTGAGATAAGAGAAAAAAAGAAGAAAAATATGGAGAGATGGGGATAAAACGAAGCAGCTGCTTCTTTGCCAAATAACCTTGGGGGCAGTAAAGGTGGCCTGCTATGGACACGTAGTCCTCGATTTAGGACCACAACTGGGACAGGAATTTCCATCGCTAAGCAAGGTGGTTGTTAAGTGGGTTGCGCTTAATTTTACAACCTTTTTTGGTCAGTCATTAAACAAATCACTATGATTGTTAAGTGAATCATATGGTGCTTAAGAAAAACTGATTTCCCCCATTGACTTTGCTTGTCGGAAGTCATCTGGGAAGGTCGCAAATGATCATGTGACCCTGGGACATTGTAACCGTTATAAATGCATGTTGGTTGCCGAGTGTGCCCAAAATTTAATCACATGACCATGGGGATGCTGCAATGGTCATAAGTGCAAGGACTGGTTGTAAGTCACTTTTTTTCAGCTCTGTTATAGCTTTAAAGCAGGGGTCTTCAAACTCGGCCCTTTTATGACTCATGGACTTCAACTCCCAGAATTCCTCAGCCAGCATGGCTGGCTGAGGAATTCTGGGAGTTGAAGTCCATGAGTCATAAAAGGGCCAGGTTTGAAGACCCCGGCTTTAAACGGTGGCTAAATGAATGGTGCTACCCAGCCCAAGCCAAATCCTGCTCTGCTGTATTTCAAAACTGAAGGAAAATATCTATTTCCTTGAGGGGGGGGGAAGTGTATAAGGATATGAAATGTTGTATTCTTGCATTCCCTTTAGCCTCCAGACAAGAATTTCAGAGCCAAATGGGAATCCTATCACATCCCTTGTCAGGCAGTAAAAATACTCCCAAAATATACTGGCCACGTTAGTTTTTCAGCTATGAAAAGCTGACCTGTAAACTTTTGTAACCCAAGAGAGAAGGGGACTGCTTACATGTTGAGGATTTTGGAGTTTTTCCCCTTGGAGAGCTTTTTCTCCCTTCTACTTTCTCTATAACAGGCACAACCAAAGGGAATTCTGACATGAACAATATGGATGATCACCAATAGTGGTGGGAACACTTTTGCAGTGCTACAGGGACAACCAGCACAAACCGGTAACAGCAATAACTGGAGCACAAGAGCAGGAAAACCGTACCAAGTGCCTCTTTCGATATTTTAGGAGGAATGGCTGAGAAACAAATGTACTCATCCCAATAAGCTGGCCTGCAGAATATCTAAGCAGGACTGCGAAGGACCCTCTGGTCCATAATGCCAGAGGTGGCCACCCTTTATTAGGGCGGTGAAATATTCTTGAGGGGGATGCTCTTCTAAAACAGGGCAGGCCTTTCAGGGCTATGGGATTGCAGCTAGTTATGTTGGGACATCCCTGCAATGTGGTTGAAGTTGGATCTTTGGAGAGGGGTTCCAAAAGCAAATCTTCTAAATCCAAAATTCTCTCTAAAAATGAATTTCAAGAGCAGGCCTGGAAATTTTGTCCCCCAGTGTGCATGTGCCTCAAGGGCAACTGTGGGGCCCGTGGGGGGTTCTCTCCTGCTTTAGCACTTCTGCATTTAGAGTAACTCCTGGAAGCTTTCTTATGTTCCACTTTGATTCTTGAATTGCTGTGTTTGATTGTACAGCATAAACAAAAGCGAAAAGAGTCTTGGGGGAAAAATAAGTCTTGGGAGACTGAAAACCAGACTATCTTCAGCAAGAAGCAGGCATGGGCCTAGATTCAGGGGCAACAGTGGAGAAACTATGGATATAAGGATGGGCAGATAAGAGGGCAAAATGCATCTAATGGAAGGGGCTTTCCCTGTCGCTTATATTTCTGAAAGGGAAATAATGGCAATTTTTTTCCCTACTAAATGTTTCATAATAAACTGATTTCTAAGGAAAACAAGAGGTTAACAGAACTGGCTTTTAAAGACTGAAAATCAATATACTTTCCCCATTTAAACTTTAATTCCTGGGTATTGGACAAAGGGTTCTCTATCTTCCTAGTGATTAAATAATAATGGAAAATGTTTTTCCCCTGCAGGTAAAGAAAAGATGTCAGAGAAAGGAGAGAGGCTAACTGGCAGAAAAAAAACCAATGACCCTCTTCATCTTCTCTTGCAAAGTTTTGAATCAGGATTGGACTAAATACAGGTAGTCCTCGATTTACAACAGTTCATTTAGTGACCATTCGAAGTGACTTATGACTGTTTTTTACACTTATGATCGTCACAGCATCCCCATGGTCATGTGATCAAAATTCAGATGCTTGGCAACTGGTTCATATTTATGACGGTTGCAGCATTCCAGAGTCGTGTGATTTCCTTTTGTGACCTTCTGATAAGCAAAGTCAGTGGGGAAACCAGATTCCCTTAACAACTGTGTTTCTAGAGCCGTCGTAGCGCAGTGGTTAGAGTACATTATTGCAGGCTAATTCTGCTGACTGCCAGAAGTTCGAATCTCACCAGGCTCATGGTTGACTCAGCCTTCCATCCTTCTGAGGACGGTAAAATGAGGACCCAGATTGTTGGGAGCGATATGCTGACTCTGTAAACTGCTTGGAGAGGGCTGTATATATGTGCTATTGCTGTTGCTACTAACTTAACAACTGCAATAATTCACTTAAAAACTCTGGCGAGAAAGGTCATGAAATGGGGCAAAACTCAATTCACAATTTTCTCAGCAACATAAATTTTTGGGCTCAATTGTGGTCGTAAGTCGAGGACTGCCTGTAGCTCATTTCTGAGACAATCAAGAAGTGTAGAAAAGAAAAATCAGTTGGCAACTTTCAGTGTTTCTCAACCTTGGCAACTTTACGATGTATGGACTTCAACTCCCAAAATTCTCCAGCTAGCAATGCTAGCTGGAGAATTCTGGGAATTGAAGTCCACACATCGTAAAGTTGCCAAGGTTGAGAAACACTGCGTGCTTTCCCCTTCTTGCTGGTTTAAAAACAAATTCCTTCCTGTGGTAAATAACAAGGTTGGGAAAAGGTTTTCTTTGGGGCTGAGGCAGAGGGGAAAAGAAATTGGCTACAGTCATGACCCTGTTTTGCTTCTCCCTTCACCAGCTGTTTTTTAATTTCTTCTGTGCCCGAAGGGAAAGCCATCTGTCCTTCCAATCTTCCATCTCCCAGACAAATCACAGAGATTTTTAACATGAATTTTATTTTAATTGGAATGTTTTTATTGCCTACTTGTATTTCAGTTTGCTTTTAATGTTGCTTGTTTATTTAATTGCTTTTATTAAAGATTGCTTGTTCTTTCTTTTTGTTTATTGCACTGGGCTCCTTTGGGAGGAACGGTGGAGAAGAAGACAATGACTAACAAAAATAATTAAAAATAACTGTATGGCCTTTCTGAGTATGATGACAGGGTGGTGGAGAAAGGACAGAATTATGGAGCAAAAGCTTAGCTGAATACTAGTGCTCTAGAACTGAAGGGGAGATTTAAGAAGACAGAGACATAATTTTAAATTAGTGACACAAACATAGCTGCCTTTCTATGGGTGAAATTGCACAATACAAAAAGAGAGGGAAGGTAAGCACGTTTCAGGTAGGACCTCTAATAATCACAGGCAGCCAAAACCCATGTCTAAAAACCTTTTAAGAAACATTTTTTCTTCCCCATCCTTTGTGATTGATTACCTGGAGGACTCTGTCATAAGGCTTGAGTCCACATTGGTCAGCTGGCCCACCTGGACGGATCATATTCACATAGACACCCTTTTCTAGCAAGCCATCAGAGACACTGAACCCAAAGTCTTCAGTCTCGGGATCCTTGTAAATTGTCATCTATAGGAAAAGGCAACTTTCATTGGAATGATGGTAAAAACGAACTTGGGTATATAAGATGGAGATGCTGAAGAGGGAAAGTGACATTATAAAATATTCAACAACTTGGTTGTCCAAAAGATATTTTTTCAAAAGCAACTGGACTTTGTTTTTCCTTGAAGACATTTCGCTTCTCATCTAAGAAGCTTCTTCAGAACTGGAGAAGTTTCTTGGATGAGAAGCGAAACATCTTCAAGGAAAAACAAAGTCCAGTTGCCTTTTGAAAAAAGCACTTTTGGGACAACCATGACCTGGATGACTGAGAGTCTCCATAGATATTTAACAACTTGGGCAATATGAGGTGTCCATAGTACTACTCTACCTCACTTTTCAGACCCAGAAGACTTGAATTCAAATCCTTACTCAGCCATTGCCATGGGACAATTTACTCTCTTTCAACCTGAATTAGTTAACCAGTTTGGTAAAAAAAAATAATTAGAGGTATAAGATGCATTATAAAGGTTTGCTATTTTCTTTTCCTTGAAGAAAAATTGAATTACAGGTAAATAAGGGTTGTAAACGTGTTGTATTGCAGGAACATTTTTGATTTTTAATAGAATCATCCATAGAACTGTGCCCACGAACCCAGATAATACAACTTTTATCCTGCTCCAAAAGTGTAACACTGTTTTATTTAGAACAATCATGAAGCCAATAGAAACCATGATTTCTAGATGGATAGAAGACATTTATGTGCAAGAACTTCAGTCATCCACACGTTAATAAAAATAATAAAGGTACATAAAGGTAATTAAGCTCCTATATTCACTTAGCTCGAGCGTTTCCCAACTACTCAGTACTATCCTTGAAAGCTTCGCTGACTAGACATTCAGCCACCCAACCCCATCCGTTTTTTGCAGAGATTTCAAAACTGCATCACTCAGTAACACAAATCAATCTGAAAGATACAAAGTCTGTGATTGGCTTTGATTCATTAAGATTGGATAATCTTTGACTGTGTTATCATAAATTATCCTCAATGCTGAGATCCCCAATATCTCCTGGACCTTTCCTTATCCACAACAACCCAGTGCATTTCAGTATTTGTGTTGTGCTTTTATCTCAAAAGACAAATTGAGCTGAAAAAAAGTAGAGGACACCTTTGGGGGGGAAGGGAAAAGGAAAAAGATCAGAGTTGGAATAAAGAACTTCTTCTTTATTGGTGAACGGATGTTTGTGACTGATCTCTCCCAACACGACAGCCATGTTAATGGCCAAGCTACCTTGTAATAGGTCTTCTGCTGTGTTCCAAATTCCAAATGTGCTCTTTGTTCCTAAAAACTGAAAAGTGGACAACCCTTTGGTGTCAAAATTGGTATCATTAGCCATGCTATGTTCAGGTTTTGAGAAGGGGGAAGGAACCTTGATAAGATACCTTCAGATGATCTTTCTCTGTGATTGGAACTGCCTGTCCTCTTCATATGGTCCCCTGCTACCTGCCACAATGTACCCCCCCCCCCAAAGATACATACTGGGAATTTTAACCAAAAAAGCTATTCATCCCAGAGCTAGAAAGAGAATTTGGCTATGGAAAAGGTAAAGAAGCAATCAGAAATTTACAACCAATATGGGCAATTATGAAAAGAGAGTTATTAGTTACACTTTTATTAGTTACACTACATTTGGGTAACTCTGTGGTGCTCACTGGAGATGAGGAAAGGCTTAGGTGAGATGAAAAAGAAGGCAAGAAAGGAGACAGATTTCTAATTAGGGAGGCGAAAGAGAATGAAAAGTACTCATCACCTTGGGCCAAAGAGGCAGGAGAAAGCTGTTTGATGGTCAGACAGGAAACAGAATGAGAGAAGGAAGTAAGGTAAAAAAAAATGCTATTGTTTTCAAAACCTGACTATAGGTTGAATTAGGGTGAAGGATATTTTGTAACAGGGATGTAGAGTTTTTTTTTTAATTGGAATGCCAGGGTTGGACAAGTTAATGATCAATACTCACTGAGTGAAGTCACTTGGGTTTTAGCCAACATGCTGCAACTTATCTATGAAAAGACTGGAAAAAGGTTATGACAGAGTAGATATTTGATGGCCAGTTGAGGCGATAAAAGTTCCTTTACCTGTCTCTTCTCTCCTTCCAACCCTCTTATAAGGCACTAAGCTTGGCGGAAGCAATGAAACTACTTTGCTGAACAAGGGATGTATATTTTGAGAACTGCCTGGTTGAAGGAACTCTCAGGGCAGAAAATAAAAATATAACTACCTACTAATTATGTAAAGTGGTTTTTTTTTTAAAAAAAAGGAAAAATAAAGTTGTTCAAAAGAGTTATGATTTTATTTTCTCCACAAGGGCATTTAGTACAAAAAATGTAGAATTTCTATTATTAATGAAAACAGCATATATCTATATTGCAATCAGATATGCTAAAGGGAGCCTTAAATATTACAGCCTTAAAGTTGCTATTTTTCCATTCAGTGAATAGTTGTGTTTCTCTTAAATCTGGCATATATTCCAAAAGTCTTCAATTAAAATTAATTTCAGGAAAGGCAGGGGCAAGAATTCCTTTAGAAGTCAGAGGCTTTGGATGGCAACAGTTTTGCAGAGCATTTGCAAAAGTAATCCTTTACATTTTTATTAGCAAACTAGCTAAGTTGGGTTAGGTGGACAGTATATGACAAGTATATGACAATTAAGTTGACACTTGGCTCAAAATTCATTAAGTGTTTCTCATCAAATTGATGTCAAATGGGATTCAGTCCTAGGCCTTTTACTATATACCAGGGAGGTAGGGAGGTGTGAATATGTATATATGTATTTTATTTTATTTTATTTTATTTTTCTGAATGGATTGTTGAAGAGATAGAAGAGCTCCTTAAGGAACACTTGTTATCAAATTATCAAATGACACCAAACTGGTAGGATAGCTAATATCTTAGAAGATAAGAAAAAGAACTTAAGAGCAATCTTGATCCTAGAGAAGAAGCTAAAATTAACAGAATGAAATTCAATAGAGAAAAATGCAACGTTCTTTAAAGAGAAATCAAATGCATAGGTAGGATGGAGAATATCTAGCTTGAAAACAGCACATAAAAATACTGGAATAATGGTTGATTGAAAATGGAATAAATAGCAGCAGTGTGATGTGGCTGACAAAAAGAGAAATTCAATTTTAAATGTTATAGAAGTTCAATTTCCAAATTGTGAGAATTGCTCCACTTTATCCTCCTTTAATCCAATCTCACCTCCAACAATGTCTTCTCCTGGGCACAGCTTTTAAGGATTCAGAGAAACTGGTAGTTTATAGATGGACACTGAAGATCATCAGTGGGCTAAAAATAACATACTTTGAAGAAAGAGTGAAGGAATTGGGAATGTTTAGCCCACCAGGAGGGATATGATAGTATTATTTAAATATCTGAAAGAAGGACATACCAAGTTGAGACTTGGATAATGGATCCAAGCTATAGGAAGATAATTTCTAACAGAATATTAGGGGAAAAAACTTGCTAAAAATAGTAACAATTTGATGGTAGAATTAAATACCCAGTGGCCTCTTATTCATTGAATGTTTATAAGTGGAGATTGATCAGCTTCTTGTTGTGGATGCCTTGAGCTGAGCAAGGAGCTTTGACTTAAGGACTAACTGTACCGTTTTAACTTGAACCTAAACAAAATGCCAGGATTAGTCTCCACATTTACTGTAAATAAAACCACCCGTATTTTATTGAATTTCTTAATTTCTTAATACAATATCACGGCTTCTGCTGGGTTTTTAACCCCTATGAAAAACAACTGGAAAACTAAGAGGTCTGGAAAAAGGAGTATAAGGCAGATTTCACACCTTAGAAGGCCCACTGAGGCATATTCATTGAAGTAGTAAAATAAAAGCAAAGATGGGGGAATTAGGATTGTTTTCTAATAACTGTCCATAATAATAAGAGACCCCAAGTATGGTTAGTTTTAGTTTTAAGAAGTAAAATAAAAAAGCAGTTTAAAACAGGTTGCCTCAGCTTGCTCTCAAATGAACCCTTGACTATGTAAATAAAGCGCTTGATTTTTAACTAAATCTTGAAGTAGTTCCAGTAACCAAAAGTCTTGTGGGAAAGGCCGGCGCCAGAGTAAATATTCCCATGCAAGAGGTTAATGGTTTACATGTCATTAGATATCTCTGATAACCACAGAATTTGTATTTTGAACCTCCAGTCTTTCAGAATGATAAACACAAGAAAAGGAAAACATCATTGTGGGTCCAGTACAGAGGTCCTCACCCAGTCTCTGGCTGCCACCAATAAAATGATATTTGGACAATTATGAAAAATATGGTAGACATTCTCTTCTTAAGCCAGGCATGTGGGGAACTCCATTCTTCTAATACTAGTGGCTCATAAAAGCTGCTTCTCTTGTCATTGGAGGACTGCCTTATACTTGGTCAGTAGCGACTTTCCATGGTTTTACACAGCTTCTCTGGAGATGGAGGGGCTAACCTTAGCACATCTCATTGATTCCTACTACCCTGTTCCCCCGAAAGTAAGGCCTACCCTGAAAATAAGCCATAGCTTGATTTTTGAGGGTGGGCCTAATATAAGCCCTACCCCAAAAATAAGCCTTAGTTTTGGGGCGAGGCACACCTAAAAATCAAGCTAGGGTGGAGGTGGGGTGTGTGGATCTGCCCCATGAGCTCTACACCCACTTAGCTTGCAGCCAGGTCTCTCCTCGCCGGCCCACTTCTTCTGAGGCATATTCTGCAGCCAGGCCTACATTTCGCAGTCAGAGGCCTTTCTAAGAAGGCCATTGCAGCCAAGAATCAAGCTATGGATTCAATCCATAGCTCGGTTCTGCAAGAGATCTGCAGCTGAGGACTGAGCTATGGACTGAATCTGCAGAGGCCTTCCGGAAAGGCTTGACTGCAAAATGCAGGCTGGAATGCAGCTGCAGCATGAAGCTGCTCCTTCGGCCCAAGAAGAAGTGAGCCGGCTAGGTGGGGCTGTCAGTGCCAGAGGGGAGTAAGACATCCCCCAAAAGTAAGACCTGGTGCCTCTTTTGGAGGCAAAAAAAAAAAAAAAGATCCATGCTTATTTTTGGATAAACACGGGCATTTGATCCTCAATCACAGTGAAGCAGTCAGTGAAGCAACCACTGTATTTTCTTTAATTGTTTTTTTAAAAAAATAAAATAAAATACCAGGGTCATGAGAGATTATCCCACAGATGCCAAACTTACTATGAAACCATTATTCAGCATGCACATGTGCAAGACACACACCTTATGCAGCTCAAGAGGAGTCGGAGACATGATTTCTTGAATCTCATCCTTTATCGTCTTTATCTCCAAATCCTTGTCATTCTTAGTAGGGGTCACATTGTTGTTGCTCTGCACTTCACCTGAGCTCTTGGGGTTGCTCTTCCTTGCTGGGCTCAGTCCTGACTGGTTCACAGAGTTCCTGGGCAATTTGCCCCCATCAAGGCTCAGATTATGTACACTGCCAGCCATGATGGATGCCTATAGGAAACAAAAGCAAACAAAGAAAAACAATAGAATGGGATCAGCCATATACAAGAAAAAGGAAGACTTCATAGGTTGATATGAAACGAAAATCTTCAGCAGTGCAGATATTAAATTCTGCCTTTCTCCAACAAATATCCAGAGCTCTCCTAAGGTAATCTCATATTTTACCAACTCTTACATATACCTAGCATTCTCTCCTTCAAAAGAGAGCTAAGAAAACACTGGCAAACAAGGACATTCTGAGACATTGTAAGACACAATGGTCAATACGCTTCAGATGTATTTGCTACTGAATGGCAATTTCTGTCTCAGCTTTGTCATGTATCCACTGGCTTCTGTGACTATGTTAACTGTCCACTGGGACACACAGCCCAATGTGTGTCACAGTATGTGAAGAGACACCGTGTTGCAGTGTTCCACGTCATGTCGCCCTGTTGGCCTTAGAAGGAATTTGATTGTTCCAAACAAATCATGAGTCATCTTTTAAGTTAAGTTTAAGAAAAAGGATAGCAAACCCAGATTTTGCCTGGGCAATGTTATGAAAGGCATGTCAAGCAGCTTGACTACAACTTTATAAAAGGTTATTCTGAATTTTGGAGAACATAGTGTTCTAAAACCTGTCTGTGAATTTGTTGCTTTCTTTATATCTGTGGTCCTCAATGTGTGATCTGTGGACCACTGGTGAGTCCACCTGGTGCTCTGGTCTCCAGCTTCCCCTGTAATCAGCTCCAGTCAACTGGCCAGCAGTCTGTTTGTTGTCTAAGTCTTGCCTTCTTCCCACATTCTATTATTATTATTATTATTATTATTATTATTATTATTATTATTATTATTATTATTATTATTATTAGGAAAGAATCAAAGGAAAGTCATAGTGAACTCTGTGTCACTATGAGGAAGACAAGAACTGCTTAGCAATAACAGAAAACCAGTTATTCTAAGGCTAACGAGTAACAGGAAGTGGTTTAGATGTGTACGTGTCTGAAAATAACTGAACAGCAAATTCAATTGAAAAAAGGAAGCATGTACTCAGAGACAATGCTCATGAATAGTGTATGAAATGCTGAAGGAAATAACAACAAGGAGAATGGAGTCAAGGAGTTCACCACAAGACTTCTGATCCAGACTGTCTACTGGTTTCTACACTATCTTCCTTGACTTCACATCAAAGTCTGGCCAGTCTTGTTATGGGATGGTATGTATGTTTCTGTGCATGATGGAGAAAGTGGGAATTATTAAAACTGCAGAAATAAACCAAATATTTTTGTTGCTTATTTCTTGCATTTCGTATCTACTGTTGTCCCCCAAACTTTGTGGCATTGGTCCCTAGATGCAACTGTCCCTATATCTTGATGTGGAAAGAAAGAATGCTTAGCATAGTCTTCTGGAATTCTCTGCTATTGCCAGGTCCTTGGATGCCATGAAAATCTCCAGGGCAACCCTTCTCAATTTCCATTAAGAGATTTCTCTCTGTGGAGCTCACAGATCAGTGGCAGACACTCCATGGGGCAGTTTACATGGAGTCCTTGAAACGGTATCACTAAAGGAAGGGTAGGAAACTGCAATATTGCCAATCTGCCTGGTTTTTACAAAGCAATGGATTAGTGATGGTGTCTGCTCTTTCTAGTTTACACAAGCATTTTAAAAATGTTTGTAGATTTTTTTTTTGTTCCTGTCGCTTATCATGCTGGATTAGTTAGTCATTTGCAAAAAGGGATGCTTTTGAAAACCAGTTCACTGAAGTGTTCGAATGATCATAAATATAGCATTGTGAGTACTAAAATACAGGAAACTGACAATACGAATAAATCTTCAGAGCCATTACAAATATTAAGTCCACCTCGAGTTAAATGTAACTGTGATCTCACACAAGCAAGCCAAAACCAAATGTATAAATAGGAAATGCAGTGATGAACATCCCAAACGGCCATTTTATTGGGCTGGAGGGCATTTGCCCCTTTTCTTCTGTGTCCTGTTATTATATGGCAAATGGCACATAAAGTAAATCAGTGGGAAATTAATACTTGGAGGGAGGTTGTTGTTGTTGTTTTATTTTGTTTTATAAAATTTAGCTTTAAGAAAACTCTTAAAAATAGAGGGGATGGGAATTTTGCCCCATTTTACAACCTGGCTTGCCATAGTTGTCAAGTGAATCCCTGCAGTTGTTAAGTTAGTAACACAGTTGTAAATGAATCTGGCTTCCCCATTGACTTTGCTGGTCAGAAGGTCCCAGAAGGTGATCATGTGACCCTGGGACACTGCAACCGTCATAAATTTCAGTCAGTCACCAAGCATCTGAATTTTGATCACGTGACCCTGGGGAAGTCACTTTTTTCTAGTGCCATTGTAATTTTGAATGGTCACTAAGTGATCTTTTGTAAATTGAGGACTACTTTACCTGTAAAGATAGTCCAAGTTGTCCCTAGCTTTGCTCTCTGCTCTCTACACCATGGGTTGAGACACACTTACAAGCACAAAGGGGAAAACATGGTAGGCACAGCAGTGCTGCTAGGCATGCCCGCTTTCGAAAAGTCATTACCTCAATCTCCCTCAAAAGTTCAGATTGGCCGCATGTTTCCAAGTCCTCCAAAGCTTCTCCAAAAACGCGCCAAAAATTATCCTCATGTGGCATCTCAAGGCCATTTTGGCGGGTGGGATATCTGTTGTAACGTAGGAACCAAAGATTGTCAGCACTCTTCTGGAGCAGGAGGGAAGCTTCAAGGCTACAGCAAGTGGCTCGCCAGTAAAAGCAGAGACTTGGCAGAGTCTTCATATACAAAAGCAAACAACATGAATTTTTCAGGCAAGAAAGAGTCCAAACACAGAACCTCCATGCACTTTCACTAACAGGGCAAAAGTCCTTCAAAAGGAAGAATTAAACTGGCGTAGCAATGTCAAGTTCAAGAGGGTAAATTAAGAAGTGCCTGTAGGAAGATTGTAGGTTTAGGAAGACGTGTTTTTTTTTTTGTGAAATAGAGAAGTAAAAGAAAAAAAAAGATGCATGATGGGTAAACCAGGAGCCTCAGAGACTGTTAGTACAAAGGCGGATGGGACAAAATTCAGATCTGAGACACAGAACACCTGAGAAGAGAGAGAAAAACACAGAGGGTAACGGACATGGTGAGAAAATGGTAAATACATCAGGTTTCTAGGGGAGCATATAATGTAAAAAAGATGTATATAGAAATGATTTTTCCCTTGATTAGGCAAGCAATTAAATACAGGTACAACCACAACTGAGCGCAAAATTTCTGTTCCTAAATGAGACAGTTGTTAAGTGAATTTTGCCCCATTTTACGACCTTTCTTGCCACAGCGAATCACTGAAGTTGTTTAGGTAGTAACAGGGCTGTTAAGTGAATCTGGTTTCCCCACTGACTTTGCTTTTCAGAAGATCGCAAAAAGGGATCACATGACCCGGGACACTGCAACCCTCGTAAATATGAGTCAGTTGCCAAGACGGTTTAATTTTGATCACGTGATCATGGGGATGCTGCAATGTCATAAGTGTGAAAAACGGTCATGTCACTTTTTCCGGCGCCGTTGTGACTTCATACGGTCACTAAATGAACTTATTGTAAGTCGAGGACTACCTGTAATTAGCACAACTTCATACAGAAGACTGAGCCGGGCCGGTATATAAAAACCAACATAGGTTTCATTTGTTATGTTCATTGTTCAGGATTTTTATTTCCAACAGTTTACAACTCAAAACTATGGTGAAAAGCATATTCTGGTAGAGCAGAAAGAGTTATGCTTATTGTTAACCATCTCTCTTCAAAAAAAGATGGCTAAATCAGCAACTCCAGTCCAATCATCTGATGTAACTTTCCCATGGGCATTCTCACTGGTGTTTGGGCTGCAGCTCCCAGAATTCCTAGCCATCATGCTCCATGGCTGGTTGGGCAATTCTGGGAGTTGTAGTTCACAAAACCAGTTGACACCAGGTTGAAGGAGGCAGCTTAAATAAATAAATAAATGGGGAAGACCCAGCTAGGATATAGAATAACCAAGAAGGGCTAAGAACTGTTGTGTTTCCCCGAAAGTAAGGCCTACCCCAAAAATAAGCCCTAGCTTGATTTATGGGGGTGGGCCTAATATAAACCCTACCCCCAAAATAAGCCTTAGTTTTGGGGCAAGGCACACGCCTAAAAATGAAGCGAGGGTGGGGGTGGGGGGGTGGATCTACCCCACGCACCCCACACCCACTTAGTTTGCAGCCAGGCCTCTCCTCGCCGGCCCACTTCTTCTGTGGCGTCTTCTGCAGCCAGGCCTGCATTTCTCAGTCACAGGCCTTTCCAAAAGGCCTGTGCAGCCGAGAACCGATTTATGGATTCAGTCCATAGCTCGGTTCTGCAAGATCTCTGCAGCTGAGGACTGAGCTATGGATTGAATCCATAGCTCGGTCCTTGGCTGCAGAGGCTCCTGACTGCAAAATGCAGGCTGGAATGCAGCTGTAGCATGAAGCTGCTCCTTCGGCCCCAGAAGAAGTGGACTGGCTGTCAATGCCTACTGTGAGTAAGAAATCCCCCCAAAAGACCTGGTGCCTCTTTTGGAGGCAAAATAATAATAATAATAATAATAATAATAATAATAATAATAATAATAATAATAATAATAATAATAATAATAATAATAATAATAATAATAATAATAATAATAATAATAATAATACCCGGGGAAACGTGGTATTAAGGGCAAACAGCCCCATGGTTAGATTCAAATGTGTTTTAAGATACTCTGTTCTGTTGGGGACAATGCCACTCCCAATATGTAAAAGAGCTACAGTAATTCCTCTCAGATTCAGTTACACTGTAATATAGCAAAATATACAGCTGAAACAGAGCAAACAAACAGAACCAGACTTAATTCTTGAGGATTGAAAATTAAGTGGCAGAGTTTTTTCTTTGGGAAAGAAAGAAGATCCAGCCATTCCCAAATTGTATTGCAACATTTTACATTTTACTCTCTTCTTTCTAAGAGATAAGAGGCTGCCATTTCCTCTCAAGTAGAAAGAAAGAAGAAAAAGAAGAAGAAGGTCTTACATTTAGGAGGAATGGTGCCAAAGAAAGCAGAATTTTTTCTGCAACCCTGACATGAGATGAACTGGAATTCAGTGCCAGGAAAAGAAAGGGTAAACAAACAATTTTTGCTTTAGTCAGTTTTCTAAGTCAAAAAACCAGACAGCAAGCCCTGGTATTTTTCCTCCAAGAAACTCCACACCAGGTTTAGGTGTCACTTCTTAGTTTTGAAAGGGAAAACAGGAATTACAAATGAACTAAAGTTATGAAATGGTTTTGGAAATCCATGCCAAGGGAATGATTATCATTTTAATGGTTTAACACTACAAAAAACTGTGACACAAATAGACAGAATGCTGAACTGAGGTTTTTTGTTTTTTTAAAATGTATGCCACTGCCTTCTGTTGTTCTTGTAACAGCCTCATCTCAATTGCTTCCTCCCACCACCCTCCAATACTTAGTTATGGGGTTCTTTTGTCTCAGACTGCCTTTGTTTTCATGTCCATCCACCGTGGAAGTCACTGTTGGCATTTCAAAATTCCACCTCAACGATTTATGATCCAAACAATTTGAGGCCCCTTGGCTGAAGACCATTTTCAGATGGAGTATGCCTGAGATATCAAACAAAACCAATTCTGTCTCCTTGGCAGCTTCAAGCAATTGAACCAAGAAAACTTGAAAATTGGACAAGAATAAAACTGGGTAGCATAGATTAAATTCGATTCTAGAAGTCTCTCTGCTGTTGTAAATAGCACTGCAGTTCACAGGGATGACTAGAAGTTAGCTTTCAGTACCAGGACATTGCTTTGCATGTTCGGTTCTAAGCGTATTACATTTTCCTTACACAAACAAACAAGCAGGAAATAGATAATTTTAGACATATAACCATGCAATAATTTTCACACTGGGCTAAGGATGTGGTCAGAAAAGCTAAGGAGGGGGTCATGACAATGTGATCAAGGCTCCATCCATTTTTTCTGTGTGACACATACAAAAAAAAACAAAACAGGTGGAGTTTTAATCCCATTGTTGTGGCTGCCATCTTGACTTTTTCAACCATACCTGGCAGACACCCTTGCAGCTGGCCATTAGAATCTTGTTGCTCCAAGATCAGATGTAGAACACTGAATAACAGAGTATCATTATCAAAGCAATACGCCAGAAAGGCAACTGGAACATTGAAAGGAGGCCAAATGTTGATGTCAGAACATCAAGTGCATGTTATTCCACACAAACCGGAGTGAAGACAACAGGGAGGCAAATGACAAAAGCAGCATTTGTCTCCTTTGGACATGCATTATTACACTGCATGCACATGTGAGAAAAAAACAAGCTTGCATCATGAAGATAAGATGCTGCTTTCATCATTTGGCCGAAATGAATGGAATCTGAGGATGCTTCTGCTGCTGTACCACTTGCAATCTCCATTATGTTCACAAAACACACGTGCAAGCTTAGTTCTGTATGATATATTCCATTTTCAGGAAACTAGAAGTAGTTTCAGGGTGACCCGCTCCCTCCTTCAATTGAGGGGGGGGGATCCCCTGGAGGGGAGGGCCGAGGATTTTGCTCAATATCTGCATGACAAAGTCG